TTTCTTTGTGTGGTAGCGATAACGTAGTTTGTTGGCTGGTTAAACAACGAAGGCAATGATTGGCGTCGACAAAGGCGATAAAAACTTTCACAGCATGCTGCTTTTTAACAGACACGCTCATTATTAATGGTTGTATGACAACATCTTGTATTCTTTTTCGATTGTTGTTCGACGAAAGCGCATAAGCAAGATCAATTCTAACTTTAAACGTTTGAATTTCTTTAAAGGAATTTCAAAGAAATATCTAAATGAAGGAATTCTAGTTTGGGGACGCAACACAAGTTCACCCTAATAACACGAGTGCTTCTTCATTTAATTGTAATAATTTTAGTTATTTTAATAGTCGTCGACAATATTTAGCTATTAAAGTCCTTTTAAAAAGCTGTTCTTACATTGGTAAATTTATGGACATACAGTAAGAAGGTACAATCTAAAATTTGGGCAAGGTGACAGTGATTCACTCTTCTTTCCTTGACACATACTTCCTTTGCGGGCAATTTACTATTCATCAAGCAAAAGAGAATAGACGCGATATGGAAGGAGGCGTAAAAAAACGCGCTAAAGGTAATGAAAGTGTGAAGGAGACGTGAAGAAAATAGATTGTTGAAACAGCGGGCGAAAAAGGAGCGAGAAAGAAAAAAAATTGTGGAAAGTAGGCATGAATGAAGGAAACACGGGGATAAAAGGAGGCGTGAAAATAGGATACTTGAAGCGAGAAGAGAAAATTGTGAAAGTGACGTCAAGAGCAAAACAAATGTGAATAATACGCACTGAAGGTGTAAAGCGAAACGTGAAGGAAGCAGAGGTGAATGAGTAGTGCAGGAATGTGTAGTCTATGAATGGAAGGGGCATGAAACAAGTGAAAAAGGCACATGAAGAGAAAAAATTGTCAATTTTGGAATGGCCCTCTATTTTGTAAGTTAAAAAAGATACAGAAAAGTGTTTATTATAAACGTTTCTTTTATAATGATTGTTGAATAATTTGCTATTTTTAAAATAAGTAAAGAAGTTATCGGAATTGATATGATTTTTTTTTAATAGAACATCTTGTAACCAGACTTCCGTATGCACAGAAAATGTACAGTTTAGTAAAAAACAAAAAGTGAAATGAAAAATGAAATGCATACTTTCAACGATAACTTTGTGTGAGCGAATGTATGTTTTACGCATTGCAAAGAAATGAATTATTTGGTTAAGTTGGTATTTAATTTAACCGTAAGGAAACTAAAAGAGAATTAGCAATAGACAGTAACAATCGCGGATGAAAGTGCAATTTTATTTCAGATGTAAATAGAACACGGTAATAATTACTGCTTTACGTATGTATATTCAGGATGAGCTAAATGAAGCGGGTCAGTGTAATTACAATAAAAGCGAGGAGGATTTGTTAAATACGTCTACTCATTACTGATGTTAAATAACAAAAACCAAAAACTAACGCGGGTTAAGTATTTAAACCGCTGGTTAAGTCAGATTTTACTACGAAGATATTTATAAATACAAGTATAAGCAGTGGGAAATGCCCATTCGTTAAGCGGCGTAATCGCAAAGCGTGCTGCGCAATTTTTAACCAATCAGTCCATTGGGTGGATCCCGAAAAAAGGAAATCACGTTGAGTATGAAGATTTTCGCAGCTTTTTCAAGGAAGAAAGCAAAAAAATTGAAAATTTCCACGACGGAGCACTCCATGTCAACGGGCAGGCGCCGGTTGGACTAGCGGAATGCAACAAGGAGGTTGGAAACGTATATAAAAATAGTTATTTGTACAACTAGTTTTGAAAGTGATACTTTTTTTCATGAATTTGCAGTTTGATTAATGAGGGCGAAGCGTAGCAGTGCCACCCCTGTAAAGTAGTTGAAAAGGCGATGTGCACACATTGTAGCAGGCTGCGGTGACGTGGTTTCCGTCGATTCCGGGATGGTGTACACGATATTTCCCGCGGTGGAACTTCTGGTACGGGGAGGGGGGGGGATGCTAGGCGTAGGTCGTGTGTGTGGACTATACCAACTCGCCGATCGCCGATGGCTCTTCGGATCAAGTACGCGTTCGTCCAGACTATTGCTACTACTGGACGCCCATGCTATTTGCCTATTCTCCTTGGTCGATGGTGGTTGGGGGACCTGTTCCGCTAGGTTGGCTACGATCGCCGCGGTTGATGCCCTCTGAATCCTCTGATGTACTTTTCTCTTCTAAATCAGGCCGGTACCGTTTGATGGCCCACACTACGTCTAAGCATTCCTACTCGTTGGCGTGGTAGCGTTTCTAGCCGTTGTTAAGCTTGACACTGGCGTAGTTGACGATGGTTCTCCCTCTGGGGGGGGGGGGGTTCTTGAGCACAGCCAAAATCCCGTCCTCTCTGGCATCGGTCTGCAGGACGAATGGACGTAAACGTTTGATCGACTTTCAGTTGGTTGAAAACTTTGTCGGCTGCTGCTGTCAAACGGAATGGGGTGTGGTTTGCTAACAGATCGTCTAGCGGCGATTGAATTTCTGCACAACAGGTCCCGTGCCCCCGAAGCCAATTTATCAATCCCAGGAAGCTTCATAGCTTTCTCCGTGAGGTAGGTTGTTCTGCTGCCCGGATAGCTTCGACGTGTTCTTGACACGGGTGGTTTCTCTATGCCGTCATGGTATGCACCCCGAAACGGCATTTGTCAATGGACAGGCGGGAGTCGGTGGCGTTGCATACGCTCCAGGAAGAGGTGTAGGTGTCTTAGGTGCTTTTTCCAGAAGTCTGAGTAGCCGATTATGTCACCCAGGTGCACCATTACCATGGCAGAGACCTCTTGAGCCATTTCACCTGAAACGTTGCCGGTGCATTTGTGAGTCCGAATGGCATTACTTTAAATTGGCAGCTCGCTCCGTCAGGAGTGGAAAACGCAGTGAGCTGCCTGGACTTTGCCTCGAGCGGTACCTGCCAGCAACCTAATTTCAGATCTGGGGTGGGAAAAATTCTGGCTGTTCCCAGGTCTCGCTCGGAGAGGTGTTAATGGCAGATTGGTGCTTTCCTCCTTTGTGACCGCGTCCAGACGTCGCTAATCGATTCAGAATTGGGTTGAGTGGAAGAGCAGTCAAGCATGCTTTATGATTGACTGAACTCCGCCCTTAGGCAGTTAGCTTTAATATAGTACATATTATTATTTGCTTTGTACAACTGCCTAATAAAGACATTTATTATTATTATTATCTCGGTCGTCCGTCCTTTTTCTGCATGATTACGATGAGGAAGCCCTTGGGCGATTATTCGGGGCCTGGTCCGCAGTGTTTCATCTGTCCCATTTTCATTCCCCAGCGAATGCAATGTCTTTCGCAGTCCAGTACTGCTCGGTGTTTTCGGAGCCATCCTTACCCCAAGATGACGGTTACGAAGAGGTTTTAAGTTACTAAGAAGTTGTATGGGTCTGGCTGGTAGTTGAGAGTGTACTCCCGACGACTTTTAATTGACGCTGTGGATTCGCCAGATCGGCTTCGTGATGAGTACTGCGGTGGATCCTTGATGCGAGTTCTTTTTGGATGAAATTATGGGCCGATCCAGAATCTAGGAGGACTGTCACGTCTTTCACGCACATCTTGACCGACTGCGTTCGTAAATTGGTTTGGGTTGCAGTGCGAATTAGATGGACGACCAGGTGTTGCCCCCAACCGCTGTCGCGTTTCCCCGGTGGCGGTTGCTGGCCGTTCTTTGAGTACTTAGTTCGCTTTGCAGTTGAAACGCGTTAGATCTATTAATACTCGTATATTATTGTGGTATTTATTTTTTTTGTAACTTTAACGCAATCTTTCCGAGAAATGTGACGTGTTTGTTCGAGAACACTCTAGAATACCCGGAGTATTCGGAAGTCGCAAGCTTTCGGGAAAGAGGGGAAATCAAATTGCGTTTTAGCCAGTTCCAATTTCAACCACAAAGTAATAAATAGTTCACGTTGTTATAAATTGTGTATATGTGAGTGATAAATAATATTTTTACCGTTATAAATCAAGTCAAGACTGTTAAACATTTATTGTTAATTAACAATAAATGTAGTTAAACTAAAAACTTAAACTTAAAACTTTTAACTTAAACTAAAAATTAACTGTAACCACGTAATTAAATTTAGGTTACAAAAATCTACATATGTAGCATGTATAATCTTAAAAAATTAGAGAATCGCATTTTTAATAGTTCGTGGTTCCATTTATTGATATATTAAATTTGAGGTTTTAGATCAATAGCACTGTTGACTTGTTACTTTTTTCTGCAACAACTCGGCTGCTCGAGAGCGTCTTTGTCAATTGGTTAGCATCCTAACATCTAAATAATTTCAATTTCTCATACAGTTTATGTTAGACGTGCGGAATATGGATGATAAACAGTGCAGGGAATTAGAATACGATGTAACTGTCATCAAGATCAAGACCGAGCTCTGTGAATCTCAGATTGAAAATATCACCAGGTTGTTTCTACATATGGCGATGATGAACTCTTAGTAACACCATTTAGTTACGCTCTATTATATTTAAATAACGTATTTAATTATGCTATCAAACATAATTTTGAACGCAAGATCAGGTTCATTTATTTACAATATGTTAAATAAATTTTATACAAACCAGACCTAACAAATATTACTACAAGAACCCACGCGATATTGTATATAAACCTCCCTCACCCCTTGTTGATATTCCAGTATCCACCAGTGGGAAGCCATGTTGACGCTGGTCTCATTAATCATCTCGCATCAGAGCACAGCAGGGATCTATCGGGGGTGGATGGAAAGTTTAGAAAAGCAGGGGTTGATTGATTACGTACTTTCGTGCATATCTCCACAATAAAAACCATAAACGGACTATTTGCGCCAATGTAATTCGCCGCTAATTGAATCTAGAGTCCAAGCGTCACAGTTTTACGCGACTTATTTTGCACCGTATTATTTTTGTTAGACATTTTATCGGTACACGCGCCTGAAAAATGTATTCTTCGGTGTCGAAATCGTCAATTTTATCGTTCAAATTCTCCCAGATGTTCCAACATGAAACTCTGGATGCCGACAGCGATGTCCCTTATATCGATTGCCAGGACGTAAGAATAACTCCCGCTCGTATGGTTTTCGAAAACGCGTTCGAGAGTAAGACGTTTTATGAAAAATTCACGATCCTAAACAGGGGATCGAAAGCTGCGTTTGTAAGGATTGGAGCTGCCTCTTCGTATGTAAGTGAAAAATAATCAGAAAGCTCACCGCTTAGTGTGTTCGCTCTACAGGCGTTCAAAGTAAAGACATTGCTGCGGGGTCAAAAGTTATGTCCGGGATTGACCATCGAACGTTCCGTTAAGTTTCAGTGTCTTTGCGGTTCTTCTGTGCCGACTTCTACGTTACCGATTTACATAAATGGAGAGCGCATTGATTACAAAATTTACGTGTAAGTAGATAGCTACCTATACTACACACAGCTGATCCGCCAAGGTAATCATAAATATTCTAAACGTTTGGCATAAAACTTTGTTTCACTTGCATACAATAACGTTGAACCTCTACGACACGTAAAGAAAAACAAAGGCGATCAAATTCAATTGTTTTACCCGTTCCAGTATGTAAAAGATTGGTTTGACTTATAAAAAGAATTACAGAAAAATTCCTATTTCGTCCTCATCGTGGCAATAATATAAATAATACTTATCTTAACTGTAATTTCCTTATCCACAATAAATTCTTGACAGATGAATGCTAAATACTAAACGAAATTCTCATCCAACCAAAGGAATTGTATCAATGAAATTAATTGCAAATTTTACAATCAAACAAAATGTCCAAATCCATTGTTTGGATTCAATTCGTATCAATAAATACAATACAAAACCTGTTCATGCAAATAGTTCTCGTAGGTTGATTCCTTTAGGAATATTAAAATTACTTCAAGCAAAATTAGTATGAAAATGAATATCAGATTATTTACTTGCGATTTAGTTTGAAAAGCAATTCCCCGACTCGAAAATGTTCTTTCGCGGCAATTTTATCACTCGTAAGCGTAACTAAACGACCTTGCTACGAATCTAAAAGCTTTTTTTCACCCCGGAATTTACTGTAATTCGTTTCTTCGTACACGCAACTAGCAATTTGTCGCGAACTCAAATATGTTTAATTGTTTCTCTACGACTTATTTATTTATTCGAAGTTTAACTGTTAAATCTTTACCTCTCTGATAAATTCTACTCAATACATGCTCTTTTGGTTCTTGAATTTCGGCCGTAAATATTCACAAATACGCAACATAAAATGTCTCGTACACAAATCCGTACCCACCTTCTTTTACAACTGAGCTAAGAATTCCACTTCAACGCACTTAAAATGGTGTACGGTTCGCAAAAATCAACTTTTCAACGATAGAAAAATTCACGCGCAGTGTACGTGATCGCTCGCAAATTCCTCTTCGAATCTTTTTTTAACGCGCCCAAATAATACGACTTTATTAACCTCATCTACCGAAAAACCCCCTCACAATCCCGTACCTTTGTCGCTTATTTCGCACCGCACACTGTTACGAAAATATATGCACGTTGTTATCGTCAGACATATTTCCCGCTCACGTTCGCTATGAAGCGGTACATGTGTAAATATTCCTGTGCTGAACAAAATAAAAATGGGTTTCTAGCACCAACATTGCAGTTTATGGAATTATAACTTGTTACATTCACTTTTTCACGTTTTCTTAATAAATAAATTGATTGAGTATATCGAATCGAAGCAAACAATGATATTTGCAACAACATGTATAAAAACGAAAAATGGATCCGATCCAAGATACAATTATCTGTGGTTCTTGACAACTTCAATCCGATCCGATTTAAACGATGAGCACTTAAGAGGAAAGTTTAGGAAAATTTGAGGGTTGAGGGAAATAAAAAAATTCTTAGGTAAGATAAAGCCCTCAAAAAACTTATTGAGAAAAATGCTGCGCCATAAATGTACATACCTCGTACTGAATAAGTGCAAATACAAATCCGTAAAACGCTTCAAGGCAGCACAGCCACAGACTACAAAAAAAAAACAGAAACCACTCCAAAGATATATGGTGACAACCAGAACTATTAAGCCCTTATCCACGTCAGTAGAAAAGTAATAGCGTACCGAAGAAAAATAATTTGCATGTAACCAATATTACGGTTGAATCTTCACTGAAAAGAAAGAAGTACAGCGAATGCATAAGCAGAAATGGGATTAGAAATACCACGGAAAACATCTGCACGACTTCGACCGGCGAAACAAAGAACTACTGTGTAATAAGAAATCTAGCACCGGGCTGACCTCTAGTGGCAAAATAAAGGACGATGTAAAAGAACTCTAATACTACTAATACCTATAGATGCTGTAAGAATATTTAATATAAACAAGAGTAAGGATCAAAAAGTTACTTAAATGGTATATAAATCAGGAATAACAATTGGTAAGAAAAAAGTCTCTCGCGCTGCACCGTCCACAGTGGCAGGGATGTGAGTATGGTAGACGTGCTACTCTGATGCTTAAACATTGCTCGACAGCGCGAACGCTACAATTGCGGAAGTTCACTACTCTTTCTTCACTCAACGATACTACGCAAGTTTTTTGGAAATTTCCCTTGAAGTACACCGTGATGAATTAAAGCAGTGTAACTGTAGCTTAATTTGCAATTTTAAATTTCATTTAAGTATAGGAAAATATACATACGTACCGCTTCATACGAAAGGTGAACGAGAGTTGGGTGAAGTGATAAGCGACCAATAAATCGAGCATATATAACAAAGCGTGCGCTGTTGCCACAATTAAAGCGGCTACGGCTAGCTCCGAGGTTGCGTATAACCGTTCGGAGACGGGTGTAGGAATGGGCAGATTATTGGATCACAGCGTACTTAGTCGTGTAGCCGTATAATTTTATTTCATTTTAGTCAATAATAATTGAGTAGCTTAGAATTGTTCTTTTTTGTAAATTAAGACTTAGAAGTTAAAACATGTGGGTAAAGAATGTATTGCGTCTTTACGAACATTAGTCAACAAATGTTTGATAAGGGGATTTTATCAAAGTAAAATTTAATTGAATAAGATAACCGATGGCCTGTCGAAGATAAAAACTCGATGGATGTGGTGAGGGCTTAAAAATCCGTTAGGCGAGGCGGTCTCGAGTCATTTGAATAAGCGTACGTATCCTCCATTGCGTGTAAATTTCAAATACCATTTTTCCGGTGGTCGGCCGATGGTTTGAAGTTTTTGTTGTGTCAGTTAAAATTGAAGAAGTAGTGTTACAAGTTAGTTTCCCAATTGTTGTACAGGTTCAGTGTGCACGCATTCAGTTACCAGGAGAACAGGAGTTTTGGTCAATGTTAAAGTTTGTACCCGAGCTGCCATTTCAACTATATATGTCAATCGCCACCGAACCAGTTTTGGAGATTTAAGAAAAAAAAGGAAGAACGTTTATGTACATACATGGTTGTGCTTTTACGATAAAAGAATTCCACTAAAAGTAAAGTAAATCTAGATACAGTTTGTTTTAATCGTTCAATGAAATGTATCGGGTTAATCGTTCAAGTCAAAATTTAATAGTGTTGTTTCCTTTGAATTGAGGATTTCCGGAATTTCAACTTTTGGATAAGTTAGTATTGAGATTTTCCAGCGTTTCGGAATCCAGTTGGATCTTGAGATTAAGATATTCCTTAGTTATTAAAAATAAAGTTTATAGGAACATAAGGATTTCATTTGGGTAAATTTGAGATAGTTAGGTGAGGTTATTTGAGTAGTGTAATGGATTCATGCCACGGCACACAGCATTAATTTTTGGCGCCCAACGTGGAGCACAGCATTTTTTGTATGCACCTGAATACAGCTATACGTACGCAGTTCTCGTGTTATTAAATTTTTGAAAAAAACGATATTTGAATGCAGCACGTACGTATACTCAAGTAATATTAATAAGATTAATATTAACTTCTCCGTCACAAGCTGAAAATCGGAGACGTTTAGGTCATATTTTGATAATGAAGAAACAATAATAATATACGGAAAAATGCACCCATACCCATAACTCAATTTATTTCTTCGAGAATTTAAAGCAAGCATTGCATGCGGTCGAGTTACAAGCTTTCTTATCCTGAAAATTTCCATACTCCGGGGGAAAATTGTACTAGAGAGGGTCTCAAAAGTTCACCTGTATCATCCCAAAAACGAACCATTTTTCAATTTTTCTTGGAGGGAGCTTTTTCAAGGGAGGGGCGTACTATTTGTAGCCTAAAGATAAACATCAACTCCAGGAATTCATATTTATTCGTCTTTTGTTCGTCTGCCTTGTAACCAGAGCATCACGTTTTGATTTTCAAATTTAAAAGGGAGATAAAAGGCTACTGCAAGATAAGGGACGCTTAATTTTTATTACAGAGCTAGCCGTGGGTAAAATTAATTGTGGCGGAAACATATTTACCAGTGCTTTTTGATCTCCCTATAATAAGATGCTATTAATGCGTAATTTTTTGTTCTCACATAGACATAGAGGAGTTTGTGCTTTGGTATACTTTGTGACTGGAATAAGGTCCAGATAGAGCATTTTAAGTTATAATAATTGCAGAAAATCTTGAAAACGTCACAAATAGATAACGTCGCGTGATATTCAGCCCAAACCTCCAAAAAAAGTCTCTTATATGTTTTTGTACCTATGCAGGCACCTCGAATAAAAGTAAAACTAAAAGCGAATCAAACAATTTATTTTGCGCATGCGCAATTCCAAATTTTTTATTTGTTAAAGATATTTAAACGAAATTTTGTATGTAGACGCTTTGAGTAAAAGTAAAACTAATACCAAATCAAAAAATTCGTTTTGCAAGCTATACTGATCTGGTGGAACAGAACCAACTTTTTTCGTTCCATAAAAACTTTATAACAAGTTATATAATACATATCGTTGTAGCGATCTAGACATGTGTCTAGTAAGTAAAAAATATCCCATGAACCTGGCTACTACAAAATCTAAAACACTTTTTTTCTGCCATTTTCTCTCCTAAGCTTCGATTTATATTACACAATAACATAAGCAAATAGACTTTTTATGTACCATAAGAACTTCGCTTATAAACCTAATGCATTCTAGTAATTCAGAACCTTGAAATATTATGATCAAATTTACGATTGTTAATTAACATAACTTAAAACAAACCATCAGTCTCTTTACCGCAAGTTTTATTTTGCAATGAGTTTTATATTTGTGGTTAAGCACGCGTAAAAGTGTTAACCAAATGGCATTGAAATGATTATATAATTCCGGATTACGAGAACCTCAATCTAAACACTAAAATACTTCATTGCAGATTGCTGTGTTCGGTGGACCTAAAGGCCGAACCTGCGACTCTCAATTTCGACGTGATCAACGGCGGCCCAAACGCGGCCGTACGCATCCTTTCCGTTCGCAATGATGGTACCAGAAGCGTGCGTTTTAATATCGATCTTGGAGGAAATGCAATGGAATTCATTGTGGAACCCGCAAAAGGAATCATACAGGCAAGAGTCTTCCAGTAGTAGAAATTGAAGCAACTGCGTTTAATTCGGCTCGCTTTATAAATTTTTTATTCAAATCTTGACGTTGCACTTTTGACTTTGCTAAAAGTATAATAAAGTAATAAAAAGGGATATTGTTAGATGAAAAATTAAAACGGCATGTAAAACTCTGAAATATTCAAGGGATGACGCTGAAATTTATTGCAAGCTAAAACTTTTAAATAGTTTCGAACTTTGCGAGATGTAGAGCTTTTTCAAAAAACTTTATTTCTTCATAAAACAAAATGCTTATTTTCATACACTTTTATGTGTCGGCAAATATTATTTCTGCCCTTAATTTAATTATTGAACTGCAGCAATATATGAAAGTATTGCCACAAAATTAAGTCATTACCCAAAACTTTTATTTTGTAAATGTTGCTGTGTGTAATGGCAAATGGTAACTAAGCTACCCACAAAACACCTGACTAGCTAGCTCTATTAAATAAACTTAATTATAAAATTCGCAAGATACGTTCGACCTCCGCTACAATGAAAAAAAATCTCGTAAAGGACATTTTATTAATTTTAAGTGTCTCATTTCAACAAGTTCAAGGAATTATTTAAACAAATTTTGATTATAACTCTGTGAAGAAATGCCTATCATTTATTCAACCTACACCGGAATTGAAAAAGTTGAAAGAAAGAGAAGTTCTCAGGGCGTGTTTTCCACATACCACGCATGCAAGTGATCGATAGACAATTAAAGAAATCTTAATTATTTACAGTTTTTGATTATCCAATAATCTGACAGAAACTTTCACTTATTTACTATTACACTATCTTGATTAGGTAATTCATTTGATTGTCGTACATTAAGTCAACTAACTTTCTTCAATAAACCAATTTCACTATTAGATTGACGAATGCCGTCTTAATATCCAACAGGCAGACTGCCCAATAAGAACGTATAAAGCGGCACACTTTCGGACCACTACCGAAAAAGAAGTCTCGCTTTTCGTTGTTCCCTTCCCCCAAAAAAAATGCCCATCCTTAAAATTTCGTAAACAAACAGTCATACAAAATCAAATTTTAATAACGCCAGGTTCTAAATGAACTGCACGCCTGTTGTTTTCTTATCGGCGTGCTTATCTTGAAACTAATTAGATTTCACCTTACACAACGCGATAACAAATATTCTTATCGCAATACCTTTTAATATAACGCACAAATACGACCAGATGTTTTCTTCTAACGCGTAATTTCAGTTTTTACACAAGGCGATTAATTGAAACAAAACTTAAACACTTAACAATTCTTATACAAAACAACGTCAACAATTTCAAATTCAAACAAAAAGAACGAACTCCGTGTCTAATTCAAAACCAGCGACCAAATATATCTCTTAAAAAAATGTATATTCTACATACAGGGTGGCCCATTATTATTATAAATGCCGAGCCGAAACAAAAACAGTTTTACACAATTATATATTCAGCCCTGTGATGTATCAGAAACGTGTAGGTTATCTGCCAAAAAACATTTCATTCAGGCAAAACAACGATTTTGACAGATAACATACACGTTAAGTTTAACGTTAGTGATACACCACAGGACTGAATGTAACATTTTCATGAGAACACGAACACGCATAACGTCACTACACTACGAAGGATGGTATCGTAATTAACATAACTGGGGACACACATACATATTAATGTAATTTTTTAAAGAGAACCGATAGTTATTTTGTAACGAAATCCAAAAGAATTTCGTTACCTTAATTTTTAATATATTTTCTGTAATCGATGTTTTATTTTTATTTTATTTTGCCTTTATTTTTGAATGAGCGGGGTTTCAGCCAAGGCTGCTCTACCAACACAACCCACTATACATTTACAAATATCCATGCCCGAACCCGGATTCAAACCAAGGAGCCACAGTTCAGCTTTAACTGAACTGCGACACACGAGCCGGCTTTTGGTACAATTCAGTACTTCATTTTTAACAGGGAATGCTTTCCTAAAGCTGATAATAAATAACGAACCTTAGATCTTTGGAATACTGCTGAAGTTTCTTGGATAATTTATACGATTACGCCTTCTTGCGCAATTGATCGGGCAGTAAACCGGGTGTACTTTCAACCAGCTCTAAATGCTATTATAATATAAGTTATTATTAGCGTACTACACAGTCAAACATGTTCAATGCCAACCCTCGAAACTGCTCTAATTTGTCTTCTGAAACTATCCCTTTACAATTGAAATTTTTATTATAATCCGAAAGTACATACGAAGGCAATTTATGACTTTGATTTTTTAGGATAATCCCTTCTGAATGTGTAAATCCGCAACACGGTTTTTTAAAATTCGATTACTTTAATTTTTTGGACGGACAGACAGTTTGGCGCTAACTTTAATTTACCATTTCTGTGATTGCGCTCTAACAAGGCGAATTTATTTCAAGTTTTTTGCTAACGAGCTGTACCGCCCACCGTGTCCTCTGTAAAATTTTCCCGAACGCTTCCCTGCTATTTTTTAATTTTCTAACACGCCTACAAAATGGAGTTAATAGGTTAAAGCGGCCATCTTTCATCGTTAACCAATAGACTTAGTTCCCTTAATCCAATAATAAAAAAATGGTTATAAAGTCCATTAATTAAAAATCACGGGGTTTCAAGATTGAAGAGTTTGCGTTGCTCACGCTGGGTCGTAGCATCATTATAGGTAATACATTTCCGGTAAATATTACTTACAAATATTGCTTTGCACAATGGTATGCGGTCACTACGCCACCCAAAAATACCGGTTTAGCTAGCCCAAAACAAAACAACTTTTAAATTTAGAATTTTAATAATTTACCTCATAGAAGTCCGGGGCTCCCGTCACAAAGATGATCTTAATGTTGACTTTAAATTATTAATTTGGGAGGCTCAGTAGCCTAGACCAACTTCCGAAAATCCCTGAACGAAAAGCTTACAAAGCTTGTTTGGACATATTACCCCGCACGCAGACGGTCAACAATTAAAATCGGAAATCTTAAAATTACACTTTGCTTTATAACAGTATTAGATTATAAACAAAACTGGCTTGATGAAGATGATAATTTTTGGTAGGTAGCTGTTCGGACGGTAGAAACTTTTAACTTTCAATAATAATAGAAACTTAACGAAAGGCCTCAGTGTACTACAACTGCTTGCTTTTTCAACTCGACAAAACTTTTTCCGTAATAGGAAAGCACATGATAAACTTCTTATACCACTTTGGTTAACCTGCTTCTACATCTATTTATTATCAAAAGATGAACTGCGTGTTCAACAAAACGAATAGGGCTGACTGCCCGAGAATTTAACGTAAACAAATGTACACGCTCTTCAACCGTCGCGAAACAAGCAAGAGCCTCTTTTTCTTGGCCTCTAGTATTTAAGGAAACTTCCACCATACATTAAAGTTTTTCTTTAAGAATCCTCAAATAAATCGCCAATCACGACGGAACTCACTGTAACCTTAAAAAGGCATTTTCCAAATAACTGTATCCCCACTTAACTTGTGCGGGGTATATTATATTCAGGGATATGAACCGGACCGAAAAAATGCCGAAAACCGTACCGGGACCGTTTGTTTATTCAGAGCCGAAATAACAACCGAAACCATAATTCCCTCCCTTAACAAAAATTTACTGAAAACGGGAACAGGAATTTTTTTCGATTTTTACGTTTTTTTTTGGGCTCTTTTATTCTCGGAGAATATTAAATCGCAATGCGCAAAAATGTCAATAAATAAGAACTACCGTCCTTCATCTTTAAACTTTATCAAAATCGGGGGGTTGGGAGAGGAGAAAAATTGGTTTTATCCATCATTATACTCTGATTAACGGTCTCTACACAAAAAATTAACTTCAACCAACCAAGCGCTTCTTTCCGATCCCTTATCCTGATCGGTTATAGTTCCTCATACATTAAGAGCAGAGAATCGGGGAAGGGTACTCACTACCCCCCAAGGGCAATTGGAATGTCTGGAAGAAACGAATCCAGTGGTCCAAAGGCTTGATTTTTCTTGCATTATCCCCCGCTCCATGAATCATCGACCAAAAAGCTAAACATCACTAAATTTTGCATGCTAGTACCTTGTACCCCAATAATTTACTGTAAGCTAATGCAGTTTCAAAAATATGCGCTTTATCTGCACAAGAATTGTGCACAAGTTATACTTGTTTTGTGTTTTGGTCAGTGGGGCGGACTTTGGAAACCAAATAATGTATTTTTTAAAATACGCCTGAGTGTGCGAAAAAAGGCTGTGAAATAACGTTACTTCCAATATGACATACAAAACTATAATCTGGGATTTAAATAAAAGATCCTTTCAGATCGCTTTCTGCAAAAGCAAAAGATGTCTTTGACTCGTATACTTTGTTGGATGCTTTCACGAACGCACGTGGTTTAGAGAAGGTATGCTGCCAAATCTGTTCCGCTTTGTAATCGCAGTATTGATTGAAGTTTTGAATGAATGTACCAAAGGGTAGAAGATTGAAATACATTTCATATTGTTTGTAATGGGCTTTTGGATTTGAATTTTGCAGGTACCAACTTTTTCTGCTTCTGCAACAAGCCACTGAATAAATTTGTAACACGTCCTTACAGTTAGTTGAACCATGTGTTGTCCAAAACTATAGTATACATTAAATTGACAATCAAACAATAATTCCAGTGCAAGTAAAAAGTTCGTCACTTGGCATTATTATACTACGAGATTTTAGGAAACCGGCCGTCACAGTTAAGCTCTAAAATTTTATCTGTCGACCAGCGTAGGAGAAACAGTAACTTGTTTTGCATCACGTTTATGAGCCATGCGAATAAGAACATTATCACTGAAAAATCTGAGTTTCAGTTTGCCCAATTTACGCCTAACTTGTACTGATTTATGCAATCCTTGCAGCCAAAATCCACAACGTACTTTCGCGTAGAATGCCTATCAACTACGGAAGGTCAATTCTCTAAGGAATTTTGGATCAAATGCGAAACGCCGTTGAGAGTAGGAATGGTGGGCAAAATTATCCGCCCTCAACTCCAGGTCATCCACGAAAATGCCTTACGGCACTTCACCTTCATCGATTTTCCCAAGACCTACGTCGGTACATCCACCAGCAAACTATTTTTGATCAAGAACTTCAGCTCGTTGCCCGGAATCTATTGCATCTTAGCAGAGGTTGATGATACAATTGTGGTAAGTGACATACCGAGTCACGTGGCTTCAGCATAATCGACATGCGTCAGGATCTCCGCTATGCATCAAGAAAACAGGCCGATTTTCAAAATTTCTCGGTGAAGCAGGTTGAAGGTATCATGGAGAAGTTTGAGTCGCGGATCGTAGAAGTCACGTAATCTCGACAAGTTAAATAGATGTTGTCAATTACCGAGTGTATTACTTTAGGTACACACCGTCAAAGTCGAAAAGGTCCGCTTCCAAGGCGTACACTTTCTGCTGCCTTCGTATCATGCGGGTTCCATGTGGTACGCAGCGCGTAACTGACCTGAAAGGTTCGACAAGCGATTAAGGTGGGACAATTTTAATGCCTTTCTCTTGTTTCAGAAAAACTATTTTCAAGTGAAAGAAATACCTCAGTGCGTCAGCTGGATGACCTCGTATCAATATCATCGGAATTTTACGCGATGGGTAACACTCACGGAAATGTACCAGGGTGTTCCTACTAATTCTTCCTAGGTGATTCCGAGGAATCCCTTCTCAGAATCGTCAGTCCCGAAAAACTGGAGGGGTTTTCTGCAAACAACTCTAACAACATCGTTCGAGTAGTGCTCTTTGGAGAATCACTTGAACCCAGTGTGAAAGTAAGGCCGGATACGTTCGATTTCCAGAAAATTAAAATTCAATCAGTGAACACTAGGGAGCTGTTTTTAAGTAATGAATCAGAAGAATTGCCAATTATTTTTTTGTACCAAAAGAAAACATGTGTTGAAATACAGCCAAAGATGATAACTTTGCAACCCAAAGAAAGTGTAGAAGTGTCCCTAACCGTAGTTCCCACAAGAATTGGAGATCACTCGACCACAATAGTTTTCGATTTATTATTTTACAATCGTCCTAGACAAAATGATGGAAACATTAAGGTGGGGGAAGTACGCATTCCTATTAAATGGGAAGTCTTATCCGAGACCACGCATCCAAAAGCGGTGTTGAATATGGGAATTACGCCTAACTATATTAAAGAGGTTGGAATGTTCACGGACGACATCCGGTTTACTTCTAAAGTACAAATTCCTCGTGCCACGTTAGTAAAATCTGCGCAGAAGAAACGCAACCATCGTGACAATGATCTAATAGCATTTCCAAATGATCGACCCAAAACGCTGAGACCTTGGACTTCCAACGCCAAGTACGTTATGTTACCAATGCGTTCCCTTCTACTAACCCAATTTCAGATATCGCACGATATGTGCGGATATAATTCGCGGTCAAAGGAACACTCCGGATGAATTTCAATTCGCCCCCGATGAATTGCGATTAAAAAAGGAGGTGTGGGGTTACTACAAAAATTACCTCAATTCTCAATCGAAACAAAGGCCTCGTCGTGTCAGTAGTTCTATGGTCGATTACGAAGTAACTGATGTCGCCCAGGTGCTATTGGATAATGTCGCCAAAACGGAATGTTCCCAAAAAGCGTTGGTCTTCAAAAGTACCCGAAAATTTCACGATTTTATACCGCTGACACCGTCGCAGCTGATCAAAATTAAGATTTATCCTCCAAACATTCATTTGGGAAAGGTGACTGTTAATTTTGTGCGAGTTGTTTAAAAAAGTACCATCGTTCGATTTAAAATTAAAATCAATGACAACGGTTGTTGCTGCATGGTGCCAAGGTACTTAAGCTCGACTTGAGATTAATCTTTACTGAGAAAATCAGATCATTTTGATCCGATTGCAATGTACTGGTTTATATCTACAGTGCATTTAAACTCTATTTGACCAAGTTTGGTTAAAGAAAAATCACCCTTCAAAGTATCGATGAGGCTAAAATCCACTTTAAATTCAATGTATGACCCCCAACATAATTGAAAAATGTATCTCGAGAGTACACAGAAATAAGGTTAATCGCCAGAAATACTTTTTGAAGAACAAAAAATAATAGCACGACACCCGTTTTCACGAAGACAATATTGAAGGCGTTCTTGTTTGATGCCTGCCATTTTTCACGTACGTACTGCTGTCCTTCACTTGTCGGTTGCATCGCCCTTTGAACCATAGCTTTAACTGTCCTAAGTACTGATTACGAAACCTTCTCCGAAGATAAACCACCAATTTCGGCGATTCGCCACTTTCCTAAATTGAGCCTTTTAGTCAACTGCATCACAGTCTGGGACTCCACTCTCTACTGGGTCTGTAAGGAACATCATGGGCGTAAACGGTACCAAGTCGTTTGCAGCATAACTGGTTTTATCCGGAACCGGCATTATAGCTCAGTGGTAGAGCGTTGGGGTATAAATCCGGAGGTCGGGTGTTCGAACCTGGGTTGAGGTAAATTTTTCATCTGTGGTAGAGATGGAAATTACCTTAGATCAGTTTCGAGCATTCTGCCGGCTACTCCGAATTAGTTTTTCCTGCAGTTTTCCCAATTCGTAAGGTAAATACCGGAGTAGTACAGAACAACTTAAGACCTTCTGCAGGGGCACCTCTAAAAAGCATTATGCGGGTCACTCTGTAATTGGGCGTAAGCCTGTTGAGGGCCTAGAACAAGAGGGACAATAAGTAAATAAATCCTTCATGGTACTCTAATGAAAGGTCTCAACGAAAGGAATTAATTTATACCAACCATAGCCCTCCTCCTCGACCTCTGATCGTGATCGGGTATATTCCCATATACCTCAAGAACGGATTGTCGGAAGAGGGTACTCACAAAGGGCGATTGGGCCGTCTGCAAGAAATATATCCATTCGTGATGTCAAAACAAAAGCTATTTCGATTTAAAAACATGCGCTTTATCTGCACAACAGTTATGCACAATTTATACTTGTTTCCTCCTCTTTTTATTGATCTCCTCTTCATTGTAATCTAGATCTGGTTGAGGATCAATCGATAGGTCTTGATAAAGCCATTGTCGCCCCTCCCACCATCTTGACTCGAGTAACTGTTTGACTGAACAACTTCGTGAAGGAAGGTCAGCAACTCAGCAGGATTCAACCTACCAGGGACGTGGTGCCAGTTTTCACTCCCCTGGTACGCGACTCCAAGCAAATGTAGACCACTCTTCGGTCTCCTCGCCCATGACAATATGGTTGTCGAGTCACAGAATCACATGCGTCGGATATTTCAATATTTAATTTACGAAGCTCTTCCATCCAAGGATCATTATACAGGGTGAGTTTTTTTTTCATTTTAAGCATTGGGATCTCGTAATCCATAAGACATACAGATTCTGTTAAATGAGGAAAGAGTTGTCGTTTTAAGAGCTTATTTAAGATATGCTTTTGTTTTTTGAAAAAAATCCACAGTTCACTAGATATGAGCGAAAAGCAGATTTAGTGATTTTTCATTTAACTGTTGTAGAACAAAAGCATATCTGGAATAAGCTCTTAAAACGACAACTCTTTCCTCATTTAACCGAATCTCTATGTCTTACGGTTTCCAAGATCCTAATGCTTAAAATGAAAAAAAAACTCACCCTGTACATATATGGAAGAGACACTATTGCAAATAAATCGGGCCTAGAGCCTCGAAGGTACAACTATAACTATCGTGATTTAATTTAACATCATGGCGATCATGATTTGGCGTCAACTCACTTCCGCCGAACTTTTTCCAAATAAACCGAGCGTCCATCGTGTTTCGTTTTGCCACCCCCAAAAAGTGGGTAAATTTGCATTTCTTCTTTAATTCTTTTCTCAGTAACCATAAGACACTGGTGGCACGTCTTTGAATAGATTTTGGGGAATGCTCTTTCCGATTTTGTAAACAATTTTTCAAAATTCCTACCACGAAAGAGCGCACTTCTCGAAAAAATTCTGATTTCGACCAAATTCGGTATTATCTGGGAGTTTTTGAACATGAAAATCACGAATCTTCTTGAAATCGACACATCAAATTCTTTAATATCATTTAATGATCAAATTAATTATTCCAAGTAGATATCATAATATCAACTTAAATCGTTAATTTTTTGATATTCGGAACATTTTCAACGAACTAGTAACTACATGCGAAATTAGATCAGTCACTAGTAGGCAGGGGACACTTTGTAACCCGAACGCCCAATTTTCAAATGAGTATAACTTTTGTTTGAGAAGTTATTTGAAAAAACTGGTCGACAATTTTGTTCCTTAACTCATCAAGTATGCACACAACAAATTTCGTGGAATTCTCTCCATTTCATTCGTCCGACCGAGAATTGCAATGGAATTTTTTTGTCGAATTTTCGAAAACAATTTCAGATTCATGATTTTCATGTTCAAAAACTCCCAGATACCAAATTCTGTCTAAATCAGAATTTTTTCGCATTCTCATTTAGGCTACGTCGTTTTTTTTGCAAAATCGGAAAGGACATACTCCAAAGCTATTCAAAGACGGGCGACCAAGTGTCTTATGGTTGCTGAGAAAAGAATTAAAGAAGAAATGCAAATTTCACCACTTTTTTGGGGGTGGCTAAACGAAAGATTTCGACGAAATTTGGTATCTGGAGGTTTTTGAACATGAAAATCATAAATCTGAAATTGTTTTCGAAAATTCGACAAAAAATGAAATGGAGAGAATTCCACGAAACTTGTCGTGTGGGTACATACTTGATGAGTTCAAGAAGAACATTGTCGAACAGTTTTTTTCAAATCACTTTTCAAACGAAAGTCATACTCAATAGGCCAGGATATAGCCCAAAAAAGGGAGGTAGGCGAAATTTTGGAGTTTTTTTAAGTTTGCACCAATTTTCTGCTTGTGCTGTATGAGGGGGTTTCAAAAATCTCGAAATTTTTCGACTTTTTTCAGTTTTTCGCCAATAACTCTTAAACAATGCATTTATATAATAGGAAAATTTTATTCTTTCGTAAATTAAGGTACATCAATCCTAGGTCGAATGAGCCCCACGTATTTAAAAATGAGTAAAATTATATGGACGATATTCATGTTCAAAAAACAGAACGTTTCAGAAGAAACAAGGTTATTGCAGAAAACGTTGAATTTGACGAAACCATGTTACTGACAATGTCAACAGATAATTTCCTCTCGAATGAAGGAAACAAAAAGCGAATTATCTCAATACTGATTCAGAAATTTGCCGATGAAAGCATCGCTGTTGAACAAACTGCAGAAGATGCCGACAGAACAATTGTCAAAAGGGCTATAGAACATGCGCATTCCGAAAGTGTGTTTGCGGTAGAAGAATACATAGGTATTTTAGTAATTCTTACTGCGCTAGCCCCTAATAGCGATCAGTTGTTTTTGATAAAGCCTAGAAAAGTAAAATTTGAGACCGTTTTCTATTCTTCTATACACTTAAAAATATCAAGCAAAGTAAAAGAAAATATATTATTTCTTCAGGCGTTCAGCGGATACGATTCATCGTCAGCAATTTTCAGACACGGGAAGATGAAGCGTGTAAAGTTTCTCGAAAAAGATGCGGAGATATTTATACAAACAATTGTAGAAATATTCTTTAAATGAGACCCGCTTTAAACTGTTCACCAAGGTCTTAGTACTTAATACTTTCAACTTACCCACTCTTCCCCCAACTAAAGAAACTGCCAAACAGCATGCACTGAGGGCCTTCCTGCAAATTAAATGTCGAATGACCATTTCATGAACCCACTGCAATGGGGTTGGAAACATGGGTACAGTACAATCAACAGTCGAACTAGCCCCGTAGGCGTAGGAATTACTTAATAACACTGCGTGCAAATGTTTGAAGGGGTGTCGAAATGTTTGTGGTTGAAGAAGGCAAGGAATGAAATGTTTCTCAATATGCTATAATTGCAAAGTAGTGTCCTGCATCAATACACCAGAAGAAATCGATGGCGATTCAAACTTAAAATCATCATTTATGAGTTATTAATTAAAAACTGAAAAAGTCCACTAATTTCGAGGTCTTTGAGCCACCCCTCCGTCAGCACAAGCAGAAAATTGGTGCAAAACACTCTGTTTACATGCAAATAAAAAGATTAAAACCATTTCCAGCTTTCCAAGAATTATTTGGCATCCAACCCTATTTGTCGGGGAAATAGAGACTGAAAATTGCCATTTCCTGCAAAACGAGAAGAAGTTCCAATTTTTTTGCATGTCATGGAGGAATATCTGATGGTTAAGAATCCTCCCAACCCTTGTGCTTCCCCCGTACCACCCCTAAAACCAAATAAATTTGGTTGGTTTTTTAGTTTTTCAATCATATCTTTTTATAGGTTCACTTTATAAAAAAATTAGAAATTGTAGATCATCAAATTTTACACAACTTTTTTATATAGTACTTCTTTTTCGTAAATTTCTTATTTCAAAAGATACAGAGCTACCTCGATTATAAAGTTATGGTGGTATTCATTTCCGTACCCTGCACCCTTATCAAAGGTGATGATAGCACTTTAATAGTTTAACCCCTTGGTCGTAGTAGATATTTGATCACTGGGTGATTATGACGCTTTCGAATACAATTGTCAAATAAGAAAAGTGGTTTTACTTCATTTTAACCCTTTCTATCCCCTACAAAAGGGACGATTATTTCAACCCCCTATAGTAGTGATCTAAGATTATATCACTTTCGAACATAATTTACAAATCATTATTTTATATGAACATGAATAGTAAATGACTTTAGCGCCTTTTTGAAAAAAAGTAGCGCTTATACAGAACAACAGAAGATTACTCATTTCAGTAGGGCGTGGATAAACTAGAACAAGAGGGGGGAGCTAAACTGAAGTGAGACAATTTTTTTATTTCAAACCTATATTAGAAGGCGCTGCAATCTCACAGTGATTCAAATACTCCTATATTAGCAAGAGGGCTGAAAGTTGAATTATTATGCATCCCCTTCGGTAAGGGTGCAGGGTAGGGAGACTTATACCACGATAAGTTCAAGATATTTTCTCATAAAACTCTTAATTACCTATACAGATAAAGTATAAAATTTGGTTAAAACATGTACCTACATAGAAATTTCAGAATTCTTAACAACATAAGCAACTTTGAAGCTCTCTATATCTTTTTTAATAAACATTTCACAAAAAAGTAGTGTATATTAAAGTTGTGTATAATTTTATGGTCTACAACTTCTGATAACAATATTTTTGTATAAAATTTGGTTATTAGAATATTAGAATTTGTGAGCACTCCCATTTAGTGGGTCCCTTTTCCTGGTAGGAATTTTACAAAATCGGGAAGGGTGTCACCATAGTCTTTGTAACTTTTGTGGATGCTGAGAAAAAAATTCAAAAAGAAATGCAAATTTCACCAGTTTTCTGGAGGTGGCTCCTAAACGAAACACGTTGGACTCTTGGTTTATTTTAAAAAAAGTGCTTATTTTGCTCCCAGGATCGTTTTGATCAGGGAGCGATACATATGGTTTTGTACCTCCTACATACGGATTATATATCAATTTTGGCGCCATTTTGTCCGTTTCAAATCATCTTTGGGTGGAAATGGTTTAATGAAATCTACAAACGGATAAAATATACAGTAAAGTCAAATTGTGTTTAACCAGTGAAGACGATGAACTCATTTAAATGTTGTATTTCCCATTTGGACAGTCGCGTCAAGGTAATAATAACAAAACAAGATCAAGTTTACCTGGAGGCTATTAAGTTTATGAATAGAAGATTGTCGATTTAACCACAGACACCACAAAACCAGTCACGTTCATTGCAGTCTATTTATAGTCTATGCTCATGACCAAAAACATTTTTTTTAATATATATGGGACAGTCTCGAACTATAATTTGTTAACAAAATACTTTCTTCTTGGTTTGCTCACATTAAAAAATGAGCCACGGGACACACATACCACATTTACTCAATTTAACTTATTTGATTATGATTGTTTTTTCTAATGGATTGTAAAACATACCAATCAAAAACTATCGCTGTGGAATGGACCTATAGTAGCGTTATTCCCCTATTTGAAACTACTTTTAAATTATATATAATCTAGTCTAGGAACCATAGAGTCTACGTGCCCAATTTCCTCAATAAACGATACCATGGTAAAACACACGAAATATAGTTACAACATTGGTATAGCTAATACCTATAATAATCCCTACTAGCTACAACATCCATTAGGTTTGTTAGTAATTGTGGTTTACTTTCAGGTAGCTCCTAAAAGTTTCGAGACTGCATGGGCGACCATTCATAATGGAAGCAACGTGGACATCTTTGTAAATTCAAAGTGCTCCAAATCTGCAATAAGTTTTTCGAATACCGACGTTACGACCGTAAAGTCCGCAAGTACGGAACATGTTCAAATGTATTTCACTGCTGGCTCGTTAGTCGGACGTTTTAGTGCAATAGTTGACTTCGTAATAAACGCCAGCGACGTATATTCGATTTCTGTTACTGCTGAAATAGTACCGAGGTGTGTGAAACTTGCACAAGTCGAGATACGTTTCACAAATGAAGCTTACAAATTTGCGCACATTTCGAATCCGGTAAACGTGCCCGTTCATTTCTTTTGGAAGGTACCGGAATCACAATTTGCAATCTACCCCATGTCGGCGACGATCGCAAGCCGAGGTAATATAACCTGCTGCATAACGTACACGCCGAATCGCCTTTTGTCGAACTGCATCGACGCCACACTATGCTCGGAGAATGGACATCGCCAAATTGTCAATATCACAAGGTCACCTTGTACAGATCCCAAGGTCAAACTCGAAAGTACACTCTTAAGATTCGACTACATTCCCGTAAACTTGCCACTGGAAGGCACGACGGCACTAATAAACTTAGAAAAAGAACCCATCGCCTTTGTCGTTCTAAATTCTCAACCAATCGATGGTGTAAACGTCTCCCCAGTTGAAGGTATCATACCACCTTGTGGCGAACAAGTTTTGACCATCCATATCCGAATCCCAACCTGCATCTCTTTCGAAATCACCGTCTGCATAGGCATAAACAACGATAAGGTGCTGGAGCTTAAAATTACAGGGAAAGTGCTGTACCCAGAAATTGTGTGTAAACCTGAAGTAGTAAAACTCAAAAAGATCGTCGCTCACGCCTTTGAGCGTCAAGTACTCATTATTAACAATAAAAGCGCGGTGAACGCAACAGTCCAATTTTGTTTGGATGAATACGTGGAATACCACATTTTCGATGAGCGCAGCGTTGATCTCTCATCCCAAGCAATTACCGAAATAACTTTACTACCGAAATCACAAAAAGAACTTTATCTACACTTTAATCCAATGGGTGCTGCGGTCTACTGTTTTTATCTGCCGATGGTAGTCAACGGAATTTTTGGCCCTACGTTTCTAAACGCTCCGGAAACTCTAAACCCTGCTTATTTTACAAAATCCAAAACAGAGTCATATGCAAACCTGGACTATGTGAACATAGTCCAAATTCCAAAGAAAATGCCGGTTTGCTTAGTGAGCACAACTGTAGGCTGTGACACACTGAAGTTCACAAAGATGAATGTGAGCTTTAAGTATTACCCGGGAGATTTACATTCAGAAACCGAAGCCGATATCAAAATTTGGAACGCGTCCCAAGATACTTGCACGTTTTGCATACGTACGGATAACTTAGGAAAACCGTTCACCTTACAGCATCAATCGGGCAACCGTTTGGAACTGAAGGAGTACTCAATGGTCTGCCAATTAGATCCGCAGGAGGACGTAACTTTGCACGCTACATTTCGGCCCACGTTTGAAGGTACATATTTTATAAAGCTACCCATTTACCTCAGACATTACGCGAGCGGAAGCATCTTTAACTACCTCTCATTCACTGGCTACTACCCTAAACCCGTCATTAGCACAAATCCGGGAACGATATATTTTGAACCTGTCGTACCGACGTGCCAGACTGAACAGGTCGTGACACTTACGACCAGATATCATAACATGGGCTGCAATATATCGGTCAGTTCAAATTTGGGTGAATTGAAGGCGCAGTTTGGAGAAAGACGGGCCAATCATGGTAATGGGGAGGTCGACGTCATACTAACTTGTAGCGCTAAAAAGTCGACAATAATAGATGGCCACATTGATGTAAGTTGTTCCTGTGGGGCGCTTTTGAAGCTTGCAATTAAAGGATTGGTTGAAAACACGCTACCAACCATTCACGCGTTGCTTGTACCACTCCGTCATGAGTCCATATCGTTTAATTCAACTTTACAGGTGTGTATCACTGATAACTTTTCAGAGGTTTAACATGTTTTAGGTCACTAGATGGATGCCATCCTAGATATTGATGCGGCGTCGTCATCCGTATCCTCTTTCGTCCAAGAGGTGATTGTGAATTACAACGAGACGTGCTTTCCACGTTTCCCTGACGAAGATGATGGCTCCGAGTACGCTGTGCATATGAGACGCGTCTGCTTGGCCATGGAAGAATGGATTTCCCATCAAGGCTTGTATGGGAAAAAATACTTTAAGATACCAGAAGGAATTGCTGCACCCCCTCACATGTCGCACTCTGAAGAGAAACAAGGCAATGGGTCAAAGAAGAGCAACTCAACCTCGTTGAAATATATTGATTTGTTGTTAAACCTCATAGGATCCACTTCCCTTAAATATATTAACATTCGGTACGAAAGTAAGCAGGCTGCGCGTGTATTTAATGTAACTTCCAGGTCACTACCTGATGACTACTTGGAAAGGGTCAACACCATTTACAACACCTACGAGCAAGTCATTGAGTTCGTTACTGTACAAGGAGGACTTCTGCCTCACGTGTCACCGGAACATCTTTTAGTATATGGCGACTACGTGTCATTTTATAGAGATATATTTCCCAACAGATCTGACTATATCGGCGAGACAGTTCCGAAGACGTTAACCAACAGCGAATTCTATCGATTGTCAAAGCAAAGTTGGCTGGATCTGCTATTACAATCGTATAAAGTATTCGTACTAGCAAAAGTTCAAGCTCCCACGAAAGAGAGACCAAAAAGCGTGAACACGAGCGATGTAGTCAGTGCTTCTATAGACAGCTGTGGTACTTACAAGCCCTCCGAGAACTCCGACTTCTGGAATAGTTTCGCTGACTTGGACAGTTCCAACTTTTATCAGAAGTCTGAGATGATTTTGTTGTACTGGTTAGAGTACCACTATAACAACGTCATCGACACGCATTGGCTGGACTTTGCGAGACACTCCCATCAGCCTATACCTAAGAAGATTTCAAATTTTGATTATGACTTGCGCGACGGTTTGGCCTTAATCGCGGTAACAATCTCTTACTGCCATTACTTGACCCCTTTTTTCTCGGACATATACCTGGCACCTACATCTGAAGAACAAGCATTACACAACGCATCCAAACTCCTGGAGAGTTGGAATGAAATTAATCTAAGCTACTCCATACTTCCAAGGCAAATCACTCTTCCAAACTGCATTGAAATGCTAATGCTAGTAAACTATTTGTTCGAGGTTCTTCCGTCGTACTCCGCTCACAATGTTTTGTATTTCAAAACTGGTCTCAGCACTACGTGCTCGAAGGAGATCGAAGTGGAGAACGCCAGCGAAGCTCTCGTGGGATACGCAGTAATCCTCTTGGGAAACAATCGTGACTTATTTCAGATTAACGAGCATGAAATCGAACTCGCCCCCTTTGGGAAGGCAAAATTGAGAATCACATTTTCTGCGAAGTTTCTAGAAGAGGAACGAGCAACTTTGATCCTCAATGGTGAAAGCTGTCGCAAGCCCCATGCAAAAAGTATGGCGTTTCAATTAGTTGGAGAAGCCGTGCGTTCTTACTGCACGTCGGTTATAAACATCCCCGTGCCGATTTATAAGATTGCAGAACTAGAGCTATCGGTTCAGTCGCCGTATGGCTCTGCGGCTACGTACCATATCAACTACAGCTACGATGAACCCATAGACGACTCTGTTGGAATTATTTCAGCTCAAGTTGCTCAAAATAGAAGAATACCGAGAGCCATAACCTGTTCTGACGTACTGATCAATTTCGACGATGAAGGCATTGGAAGTTATCGCATTAACGCATGCTGCATCACAACCAGTAAAACTTCAACGTGGGTAATCTTCACGAATTCCACGTTCGGAAACTTTACGATAAACATCATTATTATGCCACAATTTCACGATGATTTGTATTGCAACTTGGAAGTTCCCTTGGGGACCATATTTCGTAAGGCAAATTGCACGTGTAAAAACGGCGCTAACTTGATGAACAAGGGGTGTCCCAGAAGAATTCCACTTAAAATACCGTGCCGAAATGACTTTCTTTGGAATGCTCTCAGTGATTTGGTATTGGGTACGGCTGACGAAACGGAAATAGATTTTTGGAAGAGATACATAGGTAGGTCTTCTTTTCAACGCAACGATACCTCACGATTGCTTCTCTAGTGGAGAGTAGTATGCGAGAATTGTAGCATCTTAGAGCCTGTTAAATCATTTTCTAAATAAAAAGTGTCGCGAAATCCCTACTTCAGTAGTTCAAAATATGTATTACCAGATTACAAGGGCCACACACTAAAAAAACGTATATTTTTAGGGACAACTGCAGGCATTGAAATACAAAAATGGTTAATGAAGAGTGAAAGCGATGACGAAGAATTTAAAGCCATAAGAAGTGTTTTTCGCAGTACAAAGAAGTATTCCATCACTGTGGAAAGCAGTTTACCTCAGATAATAGTACCACCTTATACCTCCATAGGTAACGTATTTCACTGGGACAACCACGAAATTTTTATACATATGGATTATGAAAGACAACTCAACTCGGACCTCAAGATCAAGTTGGAGTCCATTGATGGTCACGAGTATCGCTTTTATAACATTTCGTTTAGCACATGAAAGTGAAAGGTGACTTTTGCATGTAATCCTAATAAAATAGTCCAATTCAAAAATAACTGCATCCGTGTATATAATACTGTACTACCCCCATATATGACACCAATAAATTATATTTTATATTATGGTAAATGTGTGAGAATAGTGGGCATAAAAGCCATTGCCATATAATAATAAAATGTTTTAAATAAAAAGAACATACCATCCTGCTCGCGGTTGCTACATGCCAGTTTGGCAATTTAAAATTGTTCGCAAAACTACAAAAAAAACAATTGTTGTTTATTTCAACCGTGAGTTTATATCATTTTTGAAGAAAAAAAATCATCACATACGAAATGTCAAAAAATTTCGCTTCATTATTTAATAACATCGGATTTATGGCTCAGTGGTAGAGCATTGGGTTATAAATCCGGAGGTCGGGTGTTCGAACCTGGGTTGAGGTGAATTTTTCATCTGTTGCGGAGATAGAAATTACCTTAGACCAGTTCCGAGCATTCTACCGGCTACTCCGAATTAGGTTTTCCTGCAGTTTTCCTAATTCGTAAAATGAATACCGGAGTAGTATAGACCAACTTAAGACCATCTGCTGAGGCACCTCTAAATAGCATTATGCGGGTCACTCTGTAATTGGGCGCATGCCTGTTGAGTGCCCAAAACAAGAGAGGGATAATAATAAATAATAAAAAATAAATAATAACAACATTTCTGAAAGTAGACCGGTCCACTCGAACTATCAACGACAGTTGTTTGTGCATCAGGGCAATTGACCGGATATTTTGGATTATTAACACGTTAAGGTGATTAAGATTTCTTTAATTAATTGTATGGATCGATCGCTTGTGGCATGGTAGATGTGTTCTGGCCCTGAATGCCTATTTTTTTCAGCTTATGCGATTGACTTTGTCTAATAAGTTTGTTTCATCTGTAAATGTTCTATGTTGTGTTTAAGCAAGCCCTAGATCTAGATAAGAGTGCTCATGCTAATTTTTAGCGCATTTTTGAAAAAAACCGCTATTATATTCACTATGGCTGGCTGGCCGGCTGTCCGGGTGAGATCTCAGCAACTACAATCGCTAGAGACTTCACATTTTTACTAAAAGCTTTCTACTATAGTGTAGATGTTGCAGGCTCTAGTCTATTTTGAGTTAGATTACTTGTGAAATCGATAATTTAAGAAAATAATTTCGATATGGTTTTCGGAGGTGCTATAATTTTACCGTTAGATAGCGCTACCAGTACAAAAACTTTATTATTTACTTTGTGATTTGTTTTACAAAATAAAGACGTACCCTCAATTGAAATTAAATAAAATTAATTATTAAACGCAGCCAAAATTACTCGTGAGATCGATAATTTAAAACTTCGCTAATAAAATACTGACCTGTATTACCAAAAATGCGCTTTAATCATGCATATGCTGATTTATAACTTGTTTCTGTTGGTACCGAGGGTTATGCCAGGTATTTAATTAAAAATTTGGAATATAATTCTTTGGAATTGTTTCAAATGCAGTGGCAAGGAAAAAAATCGTTAAATTCCAAATAATTCTAATGCAAAGGACCCATATAAGAAAAATATTTTATTTCAATATCCAAAGAACTGTCAGAGACGTGTTTGAACAAATGCACAAAAGTGCACCCACCAAATTTCATGAAATTCTGACGTGATCCGACCAAGAATTGCATTTGACGTTTTTTGTCTAATTTCTAAAAAATAATTTTGGATTGTTTATTGTCATATTCAAAAACGTGCGATACCAAATAAATTTCGCCGAAATTAAACATTTTTTCCACCAGAGAGGATATTGGAAACATTTTTTCCTACGACTTTCATTGAAAATGACATATGTCGTACAATTATGTTTACTTGAAAATTGACAATTTCGCTCACTTATGGCAAAATGTAACGGAAAACAAAACGCACCCGTGTGATTTGCTTTCTCATAAGATCTACCATATATTAGAAAGCAAATCGCATGTTACGTTTTGCTTTCGTAGTAGTCTAATCTTCTTGTAACATCAACGTAGTAGGCGTACGTCAAACTCTAAAATTGCGATTAGTTTATTCTTGAGATTATTCCCTTGTGCTACGCGTTTAATTCCTCACTTAATTTTAATGGCGAAAAGTGATTCTTCCATGGATGTAGAGTGTACTCCACCCAACATCAGGGAAGAGGCAAAATCCACTACACTCGAATTACTATCAACTAAATTGCGGCTAAGGTATGAAAAGTAGCGTACGTCTAATAATAGTAAATTTCTTGCAGAAGATCCAAACGACAGGTACCTCTTTGATAAAGTAATTAAAACAATAGTTCGTTAAAGAGAAATTGAATCTATTTCGTATTTTTAGATAGTTGTAGTAGTTGGTTCGAAATAAAATAACTTTTGTTTCATTATGTAAGTAGATTTTTGGTTGTATGGAGAGTCGTAGGAAAAATAGTGTACATGACTCGTTTGAAAGTCACTTTTCACACTCGTGTGATTGCCACACTCGGCTTCGCCTCGTATGGCAAACTTCACATCTCGTGTGAAAAGTATCGCTTTCAACACTCGTTACGTAATATACTATTACAAAATCGCAAAAAAAGAATACCCAAAAATCTAGGTAAATATTTTAATTTCATTTTATCCTGTGCTATGGTAATTGAGAAAATCATAATTAGAGAATCAAGGCAAATTTTGAGACTTTTTAGAGCGTAGCTCCCAATCGAAACGTTTTAGACTCTAGGCTTATCTGAGAAAAATTATTGTTTTCACCCAATGTCTTTTCCATTTACTTCATTAGTACACTCTATACTCAGCATAACAACAGCCCATATTCTGACATTTCGGGCTTCCGACTTTCGCCTTCTTGTGAATGTTTCAATTGCAAATCCTGGAACAGTCAAATCGCTAAATTGTTTATTTAAAAATAACATTTGTGACTATCATATTCACCATATTCCTGTTGGTAAGTATTGTCTTCCGATACTTCGCATCACGAGATTACGTATTATCAATTCTGAGACCATCGACAGATGCAAAAATAAAGAACTAGAGAAAGAAACATCAACTAACAATACACAAATACAAATACAGAAAAAATTAATAGAAATAACGGGTGACCAAGAAAAAAAGTAATGTAACGAAAAATAAAGCAAAACGGAAGGACAATAAAGAAACGAAGGTTTTCATAAAAAACGCACAACAACAAAAAAAGATAAAAAGATCTAAAGAAGTATAAGAAAAATCGCGCAAGAAGAGAGATCAGACAAAGGAACAGATGTCAAAATGGAATTAAGGAAAGATAAATAAAGAGGCGTGGAAATGGAATTGCAGTCACGAAAGAATGGAAAAAACAGAGCGAAAAAAGGAATAACTATCACAAGGAAAGGATGAAGCCAGGAAATGAAAAAGAACTTGACGTATACCAGAACATATGAGACATAAGACCGAAAAGTAAGGAGCAAATAAAAAACGTTGGAAGAGACAGCAATTAAAGAGGTGCATGTTATGGAGACAGAAAACTGAAACAGTTGGAGAAATTGGCTAATATTCCCGTATGATTTTTCCGCGTGATCGTTTAGGGGTGCCATTGAGGCAAAAATTATTACAAAATTTTTGCAAAATCAGAAAGAGAATACAAGCCTTTGTTTCCATCCTCCATCCTCTTCTACATACCATCACGACACCCTTACCAAAACGCCCTCAAACAAACAACACAATATACGGGAAGACGCACAGCAAAAAGCTACATTTCAGACGTCCACCAACAAAGAAATCCCTATTCACGTCCCGTTCGCTTATTTAAAACCGTTTCCCTTTCCATTTCTCCTTCCTTCACAAAAATAATGCAGCGTCTTCGAATAATCTGCACCTGTGTTTTCTTATTGGCGATAATACAAGTGCTTGCCTCTTTCAACACGCAATACAATTACCAAAACAAAATCAAGCATCAAATAAATAACACTGATACAAAGAAAATCGACTCCGAAATCAAATAACACGATGGGCATTGCGTTCAATCTCCAAAAAATCATCCTATCCCCATTGAAAGGTAAAATAGAAATTGAAATGCACACACATGGTGTCGCATTTTTTTTTGTAGGTGGCGATGCCAAGTAAAATCGCAAACCTAGCAACATTGAGCTCTATAGCTGCCAAAATCGAGCCCCAGCTGGAGCCACAACTTTACATAGTGCGAGCTACCCCGAAAGTATCTATACTACTAGCTTCTTAGCGCTGCTAGGGTAATATTGTCTATTAAACTTCAACGTCTTGCATCTTGGCGCAAAATTGATCAGGAAGTTAATTTTCATGAACACAAATGTAATTAGATAGGTGATCTATCAATTAATCTTAACAGAAACATGAAAGACCGGCCCTAAGGAGCGAGATTGGCGATCCAACCCAAATACTAATTTGAGCCAAAGTCTTTCAGCCAAAAAAAAACCACGAAGAAAAATTTACTGGGTTATTGTGATGAAGCGCTATAGAAGCATACAGAATTGACTTAAATAGGGGTGGTTATTTCCTCAACAAGATATACAGAGTGGTCCATTAGTGCGTGAGTGGATGATTGTGGGTTTATTAATGTACATATTTAAAATTCGTTGTTGGGTCATATGTTGAAGGACTCCCTAAAAGTATTTTTAACAAAATGCAATCATTATACAGGGTAATTATAATTAAATGCTCATATTTTAGCAATTTCAAACACGTACCCTCCCATTGGCGGTTAATGTATATAATGGCTGTGTGAAGTCAGCACGGTACAGAATTATGATTCAAAAACTCCGTTAAAGCGTTCGGTGATAAATCATTCTTTAAGAAAGTGGTGGCTTTACAAATTATCTATTACTTACCGAGTATTTTTCTAACTAAGTACCTAATCACCATGAATGACGTTGGATCCTTTTAATTTACTATTTCCTGTTCGCAACGGAAATCATCGTGGATGTGAGTTTTCTACTCAAATTCCTGGATAGTGAACATAACGGAAGATCTCCAAGAAATAAAATTAATAATTCGTCTTGATTAGGGTGCTCTCTATATTCTTCTATTACATATGGGCAGGTGAAATTCACAAGTTATAACTTGTTTGATTTCTTTATATGAGATCTTGCTTATGATTTTAAAGGGAGTGCATTGTCGATTGTGTGTGGTAAACACACAAAAAGAACAACCCTCCCACCGAATCTCCTTAGAAACCCCTCTTGGAAGGTTTATCGAGATCTTCTCGCTCTTAGAAGTATGTTGGAAGGCTGCCAGTAAATGTTACCTTTTTCCCGGACTAAAACTTTTCCTAAAGAATGATCTCTTCATTCAACCTTACCTAGTGTAGCAAGTCTTTATAAAACCTTCGTTGGAATTGACCTAGGAAAAATGCTTTAAGGAACTAAGGGCCCCAATTGTTTCCTTCCAGAAAATTCTAGATTAGAAAAAGAGTGGGTCCGTTAACTTGGCCCCCCCACTGAGAGATTTGATAGTCGTATTATTTTGAAATGAATGCGCTCGGTATGCGCTCATATGTGCCACCGATAATAACTCTTGCGCCATTATCGTTTTTTAGAAATCCGAAAAAACATTTGGGGGGGCCAAGTGAACGTAGCCCCCCCCCCAGTACGTATTTTGTCTCTTGTAACTAGGTCACCTGATACATTTGGTTATGCGCTCAATTGCGCCACTTGAATTAAAGCTAGCGCCATTACGGTTAAGCCGTGACAAATTTTCAAAAAGTGGGGGGGCCAACAACGTTTTTAAAAGTTACTTTTTTTAACATCTTTTCATACGAAATGGTACTCTCTGGTATGCGCTGAAATGCGCCGTAAAAAGATATCTTTGCGCCATTATTGTTTTTTGGTTATCCTTAAATATATTTGGGAGGGGCCAAGTGAACGGAATCCCCCATAACGCATTTTGCTACCGGTATTTGTGCCACTTGATACATCTGGTTATGAGCTCAATTGCGCCACTTGAATTAAAGCTAGCGCCATTACGGTTAAGCCATAAAAAAATTTTAAAAAGGGGGGGGGGCTAACTTAACGTTTTCAAAAGTTACGTCTTTTAACATGTTTTTTCTACTACATCGTACCTTTCATCATGCGCTAAAATGCGCCGTAAACAAAAATCTTGGCGCCATTATAGTGTTTCAGAAACACTATACAGGGTGTTTTTTTGAGATTTTAGTTAAACGATTCTGAGAAAGTAAAATAGATAGGTTTTTAAAAATTTGTATTTAGGAGTTACTCCGAAGGCCGAATCGATGTAAAATATTTTCAAAATGGACGCACTTCCGGAAATAACTGTTGAAAACGCTAAGTTAGACCTTCCACTTTTTAAAAATTTTTTATGGCTTACCCGTAATGGCGCTAGCTTTAGTTCAAGTGGCGCAATTGAGCCCATAACCAGATGTATCAAGTGGCACAAATACCGGTAGCAAAATGCCTTATGGGGGATTCCGTTCACTTGGCCCCCCCCCAAATATATTTAAGGATAACCAAAAAACAATAATGGCGCAAAGATATCTTTTTACGGCGCATTTCAGCGCATACCTGAGAGTACAATTTCGTATGAAAAGGTGTTAAAAAAAAGTAACTTTAAAAAACGTTAAGTTGGCCCCCCCCACTTTTTCAAAATTTGTCACGGCTTAACCGTAATGGCGCTAGCGTTAATTCAAGTGGCGCAATTGAGCGCATAACCAAATGTATCAGGTGACCTAGTTACAAGGGACAAAATACGTACTGGGGGGGCTACGTTCACTTGGCCCCCCCAAATGTTTTTTCGGATTTCTAAAAAACGATAATGGCGCAAGAGTTATTATCGGTGGCGCATATGAGCGCATAACGAGCGCATTCATTTCAAAATAATACGACTATGAAATCTCTCAGTGGGGGGGCCAAGTTAACGGACCCAAAAAGATTACATGCAGATTGCAGAGGAAGTAAATTCAAAGTAACATTTTATTTAATCACGAGAAATTAGAAACTGTAAATCTGACAGATAGGATGCTATTTGTATATATTGTTGCATAAACTACCCCATGATGCGGACGTTTTATTTGGTATCAGCACCTAAAATAAGTATGTTAATTTCAATTGTTTGTTGACTTTAAATGTGGTCGTTAATTTTTAGATTAAACGCAAATCCGATCATATTTGAATTCGAGGTCTATTTTCTTCGTTTCGGAATTATTTACTGTTGTTTAAACATTTGCTTTGTTTATTTAATTGTGAATAAATTACATGTTAAAAATTAATTGTAAAAGTATGCGATAAAAATCGTTATTTCTGCGTAAGCTAATTAGTTTCAGGATAAGTACATGTTATTGCCGACGGAAACGGGTCTGTTAAACGGACCTATTTCTACTGAGCAGACCTGTTTCCGTTTAACTGATCTGTTTTTAATGCAGAGTCGTTTCCGCTCAACAGACCTGTTTCCGATAAATCTACCTGTTTCCATCGGCAAACAGAACCGAATCAAATGGCCTTAGACTTGGCGAATCCGCGTGAAAGTGGGCTGAAAACGGTGTTACTTATCTACTGTGGAACTTTCTTTACGTGGTGATAAAAGTTTACGTTCAATCGAGCTATGTGGAGGCGTGTTTTCACGTTTATGATAAGTTGATGATCAGTTTAGTAGGAGTGCTGTGGTTATCGAGGGTTTGTCGCTGAAGATACGCTTTTTTTAAGGTCTCCAAGTTATCAGTTAAAGGGAGTTTTTCCACCGATACTATAATGGATGTGACGTGGCTTAGAAAACTTAAAATTGTTCCTTTTCAAGGTTTTGTTCGCACCTGCATTTAATTGAGCTAGTTGGACAGGTGTTTATGTGGGTGGTTTAGTGACTGTATGCCATTGCACACAGCAATAGCATGTTTTTTCGTCATTTGGCAACTCAACATTGTTGTGCTCCAGGAAGAAATAAAATTAGGGAACACGCCACATAAAAGATGAGAAAATGCTTCAAGAGGTAAATTCAAATTGTGTAGGCCGTGTATTTTGAATGAAGAAAAGGCGATTGCTTTGGAGAGACTAAATAAAAACTAAAGAAAAGGTTATCGACAAATGCCTTAAATTGCATTTTGAGCAATTTTTGATAACAAAATTCATTTGATTATTGACATAGGCGCAGAAACACATTCTATATTTACCACAAATCGAGCAGACCCTACATTATCTTATCGGGTTCGCAAAAAAATGCTTATTACAAACGTCAATTGATAAATAATTAATTATACTTACAAGACACAACGAAATGATCTTTACAGTTCAAACTATAGTAGATCTTACATAACCTGATTTCGTTGAAAACCGTGCACCAGTGAAGGTTAAATCAACAAAATGAATTCAAGGGAATTTCGTGAATTTGGTAAAGCTATGGTAGATTACATTGCAGATTACATCGACAATGTTCGAGACAGGTATGTAAACGCATTGGCCTACCAAAACCTATCAATAGCTTCTAGGGACGTAATTCCGTCAGTACAACCTGGATACCTACAGACCGAAATGCCTCAAGAAGCTCCGAATGAAGGAGAACGCTGGGAAGACGTGCTAAAAGACGTTGAAAAACTAATAATGCCAGGTATCACACATTGGCACTCGCCCAAGTTTCACGCCTATTACCCGACGAGTAACTCTTTCCCGGCCGTTGTCGGTGAGATGTTAAGCGCCGGAATCGGATGCATTGGATTTAATTGGGTTAGTAAAGAGCACTTCGTGAAAATTTAACTCATTTTCATATAGATTACAAGTCCAGCGTGTACCGAACTGGAAGTCGTTACCATGAATTGGCTGGGGAAATTGCTGGGGTTGCCGGAGGACTTCTTGAATTCTGCCGAAGGTCCCGGAGGCGGAGTAATACAAGTTAGTAAGGTCACCTTCGCGCAAAACAGTTAACGGTAGCCTTGTAGGGATCTGCAAGTGAAGCTACATTGGTGGGACTGCTTGCCGCGAAAGAAAAGGTGGTTCGGCTACTGGCGAAGAAAGAGCCTTCCCTGTCAGAGGGAGAGATTAAAACCAAACTGGTGGCGTACACCTCCGACCAAGCGAACTCGTCAGTAGAAAAAGCTGGAATATTGGCTTCGGTGCCCATGATTCATTTACCAACTGGCCCCGATGGAAGTCTAAGTGGTGATGTATTGCGTCGAGCGATCGCAAAGGACAGGGCGTCGGGTTTAATCCCATGCTACGTGGTAGCCAGCTTGGGCACAACGGGAACGTGTGCATTTGATAATTTGGAGGAATTGGCAGTTGTATGTAAAGATGAAGACATCTGGCTACATGTCGACGCAGCTTATGCTGGCGCTGCATTTGTTTGTCCAGAATACCGCCACCTTATGAAAGGCATCGAACTGTGCGATTCCTTCAATTTCAACCCACACAAATGGATGCTAGTGAACTTCGACTGTTCGGCACTCTGGGTTAAAAATTCCCGAAACTTAATAGAAGCATTTAACGTCGATCGAATATATCTGCAACACCAATACGAGGGAATCGCTCCAGATTATCGCCATTGGCAGATACCGTTGGGCAGGCGCTTCAGATCATTGAAACTGTGGTTCGTTTTACGAATTTACGGAGCCGAAGGTATTCGTCGACACATTCGACATCAGATAAGCCTCGCTAAACATTTCGAGCAGTTGGTCAACGCCGACGCTAGATTCGAAGTGAAGAGCTCAGTCATGGGGTTGGTGTGCTTCCGACTGAAAGGCGCGAATGAGCTAACTCAGAAATTAATAGACAAAATTAGTGCCGCTAGGAAAATTTACGTCATTCCCTGTTATATACAGGAATATTTCGTTATACGTTTCGCGATATGCGCGAGAACTACGACAATTGAAGATATTCACTACTCGTGGGCAGAAATTGTTTCCCATGTGAAAGCGACCGTGCCAGCAGAGTTCACTAATGGAATTTAATCTTAAAGAATCATATATGTAATTGCCTGTATTTATTTTAAATTTTTACATTGTATTTGGAGACGTATGTACAGCCAATAGAAACATTTTTTATTAACTGTACATCTTCTTTCAAACCAGTTACCTCGTGAGGAATGTCTCCACATTTTCTTCCATTAGAAAACGTGGATTCTTACTATAAAAAGACCACAGGGAGTAACTAATTTTTGATACATTTTCTTTGAATATTTGCAGAAACATTTGTCGGCGATGTTTCTCTAACACTGTCTACGATATAACATGGATATTGTATAAAAAGTGTATGGAAAATTTAACCAAATTTGAAATTGTAAAATATATCACCAAAACTTAATGTGGAAAGTAAAAGGTAAACGGATATTCGCGCAAATTAGTCAGAAAGAAAATCCAATTATTTATTAAGTTACACTATGTTATTGTTATTAAGCATTTACTTAAATAAGCAGTTTGTATTCTACAATAAGAATTAAATAAATTGCCTACTTCCTTTAAATTTGAATTCCATTGTTAAGAAAGAGTAATATGAGAACAGTGTCGTTATTTGTAAGGATATCGTAAGATTGTTTAAAGGGCCCCATTCACATGCGGATATGTACGGCGGAGCTGTACGGCGGACAGATCCGTGTTGAGCTACACACAGGCGGATATGGCTGTACACAGATCACGGACAAATCTCAATAGACAAGCAGGCGGCGTTCTGTCGCTATTTCAGTTCTGCAGTACTAGCCCTGGGTTGTGTTCTTTTGAGTGCTGTGGTAATTGGTATGGATCAGAAACTTACAATAATTGGAGGTTTTATTTGAAGATACGAAAAAAAGAGACTATGGTCAAAACAGTGGTTCATGAAACGAAAAAAGTACTCTCATATGACTTTACTTCAGTTGTGCAATCTCCCCTCAGCTTCTCGGGAAAATTATACCTGAAACTTTCAAATAAGCCACCAGCCTTGGCAGAATATGCTCGGAAATGGCATAAAATAATTTCATTAGTAGTTAGGTGTGCTTGGTTGGTGGAGTAAGGCACTACAATCTTTACCAGTATTTAAATTGTTCCCCAAAAATGCGCATTGTGTTCTGGAATGTTAATATCACCGTAGTCTTCAAATTTTACATTTAAATAATATCCCCAAAAGGTAACTGATCGGATTGTATTTGACTAACAGTTTCACCAACAGTTCGGTGTTGTTCCGCAATTTTGCTTGTAAAATTACCCAAAAGATCATTTAAATCTTTAGCACAATTTGCGCCTGCATTATATTCAAAGTAATTTAAACAAAATATTTTTTTAAATGAATGTTTAATTGGAGTAGGTTGAGTCGCATTTCCATTTTGATTTCTTAAATTTCCAAACATATTTTCAAGAATTACGTATTTGATGATTCCATGTCCGGCAAACAAATCCGTGAAACGACTACACACGTGCGTATTTGTCGGGCTCGCTGTCCGTGCTCGTCGTTCTGATTGACGGATGGCGAGCAAGATATGTACGCCGAACACGCGGATACACACATACGAATTGATACAGATCTGTCCCGCGTGCATGTCCGCCGTACAGATCCGCCGTACATATCCGCATGTGAATGGTACCTTTAAATTGGCTATATCTCCCTGCTACCGACCCGTGGATAAATGTTATCGCTGTTGGGCGACCCGCCGTCATCTAGCCAAAATAACTTGTTTTTGGCGAATGCTGTCCCACGTCAATTATACGTAAGCACCCATTTATTTCAGAATGCAGAGGAAACACGAAATAGATATGAAACAATCTATAGAAGTAGGGGACCAAATTGCCCTAAAAGCTCTGTCATTTACAGCTAAACGGCTGAATGGAACCAAAATTGGTACACATATCCTTAGACATAAAAGAAGAGCTGAAAAGCTTTAGGGCAGAATACCGCAGGTGTGCGGATAGTATGTGCTAGCCACAGCAAATTTTTTTACCCAAAATCGTCCTGAAACCTTCATTTTCATGCCTACTTTCTGTCAGGAAATTTTAGTTTCCATGACAGAGGCAGAGCAGACTACCTTTCCTACCGCAGTCACTTTACTGGCTGCACCCGGTCGCACTTTATCGGGCGCACCGTCACTTTACCGGCCTTTATTTTTAAGTGGGCGGGGTTTCAGCCGAGGCTGCTCTACCAACCCAACCCACTATACCTACATTTACAAATATCCATGCCCGAACCCGGATTCGAACCAGGGACCCTGTACCGCAGTCGAGCTTCCACTGAACTGCGCTACACGGGCCGGCCTTTCCTTTTAAGTCATTCTTAATGAATTAAACACAGTTTATTTCGGTACGGCGGAGAACATGCCGTGTCATGGAACGTCTTAATGGCACGATAACATAATCAGTTTTCGATTTGGCACGAGATTATAGCTAAAGTTCCACAATGTTACTAGTGAGTAGGTTCATTATCGTAAGCTAAAAAAAACCGCAAGTTCGGCGTTAGTTAAGTGTGGATTTGAGATAGCGGTCGATTTGTGTAGGAAATAATTTTGATTGGTCGCTAAGAGTAATTCGTTGGCCGATTTAGGTCATATGTTGGGTAGGAGTGGTTTTTTGGAACTGAATGATGAGATCGGAATTACGTCTTGAGCCGTAGTAGAGATCGCTTTTTATTAAGAGCGCAGAAGATTCGCATCGGAGCGTTGAAAATGATTGCTTCAAGGAATCCGTACGGGGTTCATCGGTAAAGATTCGAGAGCCGTTTTAACTTCAAAAAAGAAAACCTGTGAACAGGTAACATAAAAATAGAGTTCGGTATCTAAGAGAAAAGTACGTTTCATGTTCAAGATGCACGCACAGTAACCTTGCGCGTATCGTTAAGACAGTCCAGTGAAATATAACATGCCTTACGTTACGATTAGATAACCGACGGTTTTATTTAATGTACAACGCTTCGAAAGACGAAATTAACGCCGTTATTGAACTATAGACATTGTGCATTCGTAAAAGGTTGTAACCCGCCTTCCGGAACGACATCTGTTTGATTCCATTACCCAAACCCTAAAATGCGAAGGTATTCCATTTGTCCAAAATCAAACTGCTCCAAGGGTAGATGTAGACGCCGTGTAAATAAGGTAAACTGAAATTGTGTTCTAGGAATTTGACGAGTAAAAATTTGGAAGTTTAAACATTTAATAAAAACATTATTGAAGGACACAATCCATTTTCTTTGCAGTTGTGTACAATAGTGGGAAAACTTTTTCCAATGTTTGCACATAAACGCGGCCACACGTCGTGCAAGTTTTACATTTCAAACCAGCATTCAGAACTGGAAGTCTTCTGGTGAGTTATTTATTTAAGTATAAAATTTAAGATTTTTCTATTTATTAAGTAGTACCTCCTAATTTTATATTCAAAGGTAGTACCCATTTTGAGATAACAAACATACCATTGCTTTGCTTAAAAGCTGGTGAGGAAGGTGGAAATTAATTGATTAGAATTCTTTATTTTGATATTTGATCAGTATTTGAGTTTTCAAGTAAAAAGTCCATTTTACTGAAGGAATTGGATCTAGGTAATTTTAATACGATAAGCTATTCGTGGACCCATTTTGGACAGCAAAGGTTTACTTTACCGTAAACATTCTAAATTGAAATAAAACAATCAGGGACTTACCTACCCTAAAATGTAACCCACCCTCATTACAACCCTGATACATTTCAGAAAGAAATTGCAATTTTTCTTATCGGCACTGCTACGCAAAAACTTCAAAGAAAATACCGCCACCAGTGTTGGATTGGGACGCGAAAATGCGGTACTCCAAAACAATGAAAGGAGTATGATCGATAATTTAAAAAATCAAAAATATGAAGTTATTTGTAGCACAAGATTTGATTCAGTAGGTATATACAATCTGACGGGAGTATTTTTTTTGTTGCGGCATTTACTGTGTGGTGTAACGGGAACCCGTTCGCGAATTTTATTTTTAATGTTTCCAAAATTTTTTCGATGTCGTATCGTGAGTGGTTCCTGGCCCTGACTTTGTAAGCGCGTTTGAAAGCTGACGGTAGACGGCAGTCGTGGAACTGGCGCGTTTAGTGCATGTTACAGGAACAGGTTTATCCTGCAGTCGTAGTTGTCAAGCTACCTTAGTGGCGTAGGTTTTTGCTGACTGCGGGAAATTTAATTAATAATAATTTTTTAAGAGTTATGTGGGTCCAGGTACATCATTACTTTTGAGCCAAGAGCCACGGAATTATGACATGAAGTCAATTTGTACACAGATAGCACTTTTTAATGAGAATGGCGCTACCGTCTGATTACGTAATTTTGAGTAATCCTGTTGAAACTGACATTCATTTACGAGATCCAGAATCTTGCATTGACCGGATCCCTTCAACCATTTGGACCCAGAAAGTAAACCTGTTAGTACTTCATACCGGCTTTATGGTTCAGTGGTAGAGCGTTGGCCTATAAATCCGGAGGTGTTCGAACCTGGGTTGAGGTGAATTTTTCATCTGTGGCAGATATGGGAATTACCTTAGACCAGTTTGGAGCATTCTGCCGGCTACTCCGAATTAGGTTTTCCTGCAGTTTTCCTAATTCGTAAGTAGTTCGGAGTAGTACTTTTGACCTTCTGCAGAGGCACCTCTAAAAGCATTATGCGGGTCACTCTGTAATTGGGCGCAAGCCTGTTGCGAGCCCAGAACAAGAGAAGGATAATAAATAAATAAATAAATAAATAAACCCAATGCCCAAGGTTGCTATAATCCAAAATGGCAGCTATTTTTCTTTGATATACATCATGCACAATAACGTGTTATCAATTTATATGTTTTTAGGTCTAGAAGAAGTAAATAGATTAAGTATCAATGTATTAAACGTCAATTTATCTACACATTTGGTGGTCGTAAACATAAAGTGCTTTTATTTGCTTGTTCCAAAACGTGTCCAGCTTGTAAAGCACTACGCAATACTTGTAGTAACGCTTCCTTCGTTGGTGGAAGACTTTCTAGTGAACGATTTTTAGTCATGAGCCATCCTTGTCTTGCTTCATTTTGGATTATAACAACTTTAGGCAATGCCTCCCCATCTTATTTTTATTGTCTGATGACCAAAACTCATTCTTAACACCATATTCAGTTTTTATACACGTAGTTCCCCTACTGACAGGCCAGCTCATACTGAATTGATTGATTGAACGACGTCGAAAATGGTGGCACAATTTTCCGGTTGCGCGCCTGACGATTCTTTTATACGCTGCGGTTATACGGCTTTCGGTTCGAACCTTTAATAAACAATCACGTATTACGCGACCTGATTAAAGGCGTAGACAACTCACACGATTGGCTTAGCCAATAATTTTGTGTTACGCGATCTATAAATTTCTGCGTTCCGTTTGGCTATAAATGCCTCTCTCCCACCCAATTTTTACTTATGTACTGGTCGAGCAGCTCAAGTGGTGAAACGACCTCAATGAAACCTAAGCGTTCACTTGTTTTTATACGTGCGAAGGTATAGTAGAAACACCGTCCCTCATTCTCCATTGTTAGAACCGGCAACACTGTAGCGTTTCGACTATTACCTCCTTACACACTCGTTTTATCTTACCGCGCTTTATTTTCTCGTTCCCGTTCTATTTCCTTATAAGGCGGTACACGTACACAATTTGTAAATTACACAAAGAATCCTTAAAGCGAAAAGCGACCACCAGTTACAGGTGGTGGAAGTAGAAGTAAAATGCTTTCTTCAATTCTTTCCATTATATTCATATCCTGCGACATCTGACAGTGTGTTTATGAAAAATATAGCTAAAATATAGCTAACTCTTCCATGAAATACGGCCGTTTGTGATGATTCATGATCATCTACATCGCTGCACTGCATTTATGAAACTAATAAGGTCCGGTTTTTTCACCTCCCAACTTTATTCTTCAGATAAATTCTTTGTACACTATTGTTGATACATGCGATCGTTATCCAAGTATTTGTCGCCGGAATAAGTTTATCAAGAGATGCAAAAAACCAAAGATCGGCCCTACGTTTATTAAATTATTTCGAAATGACTAAATTGCAAGTATAAAACACCGTTTCATAAAACATCGCGAAAGAGATCGTGAGGGCTTCGTACCGTTAATTCTTCTTACAAGAGGCCAAAGCCCATGATGACAACAACAACTTTTAAAAAGTAGTCACGTATCTTAATATTAGACAAAAATATAATGAATTTCATTCAGTACGAGCATTGAATAAGTAATACCATTGAATAAGTATTACCATTGAATAAGTAATACTTATATTGGTAATACTTATTCAATGGTACCTACGAGTCTATATTCGTATGGTCGTGACAGTGAAAGTGAAGGTTGGTTGATGCAGTTTACAGTGGACGGAGAACAGCTGTTGGTTAAGAAGGGTCAGGTCAAATGTTTTATTCATTATTTAAATTGCCTATCGTTGATAAAGTTGTTCTATAAAAGTTTGAAAGAAAGAGAAATTTTATAGTTTCTTAATTTTTGTCCAGTCTGCATTTTGTAATTACAGTTTAGTGATTACTTTAAAAACTAGCTTTAGATATTCGCCTTATAGGTTAATATACGTATATTTCATTGGACCCTACTTCGAAATTGGAGTTTAATCTATGAAAAAATGTAAAACTAAATACTGCTCCGTGTAATTATTGCATATTTTCCAACAAAGTTGGATACTCCGTCCATCCGTCCGATTGTTCAATGATACGCTGAGCTGAGCTAAGAAAAACCTTAGCAGAACAACTTTGATAGGAAAACTTCCAATCGCATTCCAGTAATAAGTAAAGACCTATTTTTTGCTTTTGCATTTTCGGTGGTGACAAAAAAAAACCTAAATTCTTGGTAAAGATAGGGGGGTGAAATACCTCTTACAAAATCTGCATGAAGCTGATATTCAGTATTCATTAATGTAACGTAATGTAGACGAATAATAAACTACGTCCAAGTGAAATTTAAACTTTCACTGCGTGCCTTTTACATTTTACTCACGACCTACAATACAATAATATTGTTAATTAGACTTAAAGTTTAATTATTGTGAACTATTTGGGTGATATATTAAGAACAATAGTAAAATGAAATTTTGTGTGCTAAATAACTGTAACCGCAGTCTGCATTTCAATTGACAATTCGTTTCCTTAGTAGACGTAGTAAGTTGCGGTGGTGTGAGTAAGATAGTTCTTCCGGCGGATAGTGCAAAGGTATGTGGTCATACGTAGTAGGCAATTATAGTGAATTAGTACAATTTTCAGTGATATGTAAGTAGTAAAGATGACTTGAAGAGTTAGGTAATCTAAATCCATTCATGTTTTTTATATGTAAATCCGGATTGAATACGTAATTAATTTTTATGAATTGTAATTAGTCAACATGATCAATATTAAAGCATGACATTTTTTTATAGAATACGGATCTGGTTTAGATGTTCTGGAAAGATTGACAATTTGTATCATTTTGTAGCGTATTTTTTACTGGAAAATCACAGCTAGTTAGTTCAAGAAGAGTGTCCGTTCGTCTCTCCTCGTGGAAGGCAATTAAATTTTCCCTTGGTCAAAATTATGGTATGCAAGATTCAATTTGAAACCTAGGAATAGTCTTTTGAATATGTCAAACATTTTGAAAAATAGCGTGGAGTATTTAATTGTATAACATGAGTATTTTCTTAATGGAAAATTTTACGATACCCACATTTATTTGAGATTTATCAGAGGAATTCCCTTACTAATGAGTGTGGCTATATTTCCTTTTTTTATAGAATCAATGTTGATTTCCCTTGTTCATGTCCTAATTAGGTATAAGATTGTTTAACTATTTTGGAAATCGTGAACTTAAATATAATAGGAATTTAAAGAAAGCTGAAAATGAATTTGAGGAACGCAAAAGAGGAACTTCAAAGGACTCAACAACAATTTGAGAACGGCTCCATACGAGAACTGAGGTAAATTTAGACGAAGTGTGAAGATTTTTAAAAGAACTGGAAGTGAATTTAAGGGAATGTAAAGAAAAACATGAGGAAAGGAGGGAGGGCGGTGAACTTGAAAAAACCTTGAGAACAATGAATTTTAGTGAAACTTGAAAAATTGATACAAACTAACAAACTAAAAGTGGAGAGGGTTTTTACGCGAATCGACGAGGGGTATTGAGAGCACTTGAGAGAAACTTGAAACATTCACTGTAGACGATTAAAATTTCACCAAAAAACACATTGTAATTTTTGGATTCTATATTTGTTTCGTTTATGTAAAGTGCGCGAGTATGTAGGTATATTTGTTTCTCATACCATAAATATTACCGTAGCCTAGAACCGTGCACCACCAAAAAACCACGACTCAACGTCTTCCTCTGCTATTTAAACAATTTTCCTTTCTTTTCAACCGTCCGAACCATCTGCTTCTTATCAAATTATTGCGTCATCGAAAAAAATGTACACCTGTCTACTTCGGCCATAACACGTGCTTATCTTCAAATTAATTAGCCCACTCAGCGATAACCGAACTTCTTATCGTAACGACCGGAGATAACACTTTTACAAACGAAAAATTTTGAAACACTGGAAAAATGAAACAGACCACCTTGTAATAAAAAACAAGATTGCTTTTAACTCCTTAAAGTAGATTCGTGTTGTGATAATAACAGACTCAGATTCTTCAAAAAAAAAGTGCTCATAGAACGTGTTAACGGAAACCGTCCTTTTCCGGTCATTTAAGGTAGAGAAAATGAAAACGAAATTTCACATTTTCAGTTTTTCGGTGCCAGCTCAGTTATTTTCAAGCAAAATTGCGTTTGTTTAGTCACAAAAAGGGACAACTTTGCCCACATTTAACTTACCACGAATTTGAACTACCCTGTACAGACACTGTACAGGTAGGTTAGAGGGAGATTTTACCATTTTCAAGTTCTTCCTAAGGCCTTATGCTATTACATACACATTAGGTAATCTCTAGGGTTTTCTTTTTACCACCGACGCGACGGATTAAGTTCAAGTCTCATTGGCTGTCCTTCCCCAGTGGCGTTCCTACAATTCTTGATTTTCGCTATGCGTGTAAATATCGATTTTGAAACGATTTTAAAAATTACAATCATTACACAAGAAAAGGCACGAAAAATACAAAACCAAATTACAACATTGGGAAAATAAGGTTTCGTTTTTACCATCGACGGAAGAAGTCCAACTTTCACTAGCTGTCCTTCTCCAGTGGTGTCCCCGCAATTCCTGATTTGCATTGTGCAAATTTCAATTACTGCACAAGGGCGCAAAAAATACACATGCAAATTACAACATCGGGAAAATTAGGTTTTGTTTTTAGGACTGGCCATAAAGGTTCAAGTCTCACTAGCAATCATCCTCCTGTGGGGTCCCTACAATTCTTGATTTTCGTTATGCTTGTAAATTTCGAATCTGAAATTAGAAATAAAATACTGCATAAGGGCACAAAAAATATACAAGTAAATTGGAACAATGAGAAATCTAGGTTTTGTTTTTACCACCCACGATAGAAGTACAAGTTTCACTGGACAACCTTCTCCCTACAATTCTTGACTTTTGCTGTGCGTGTAAACGTCGAATCTAAAATGAAACATCAGACGCAAAAAGTGCAAGTCTCACTGACTCCAGTGGCGTTTCTGCAATTCCTGATTTTGTTGTGCTTGTAGTCGAATCTGAAATACGGGGAAAACTTCAATTACTGCATAAGGCTACAAACAATTAGAAAATCAGGTTCTGTTTATACCACCGACCGAAGAAGTTGTCTGACTACCTATCCTTCTCCAGTGGTGGCGTTAAGCTTTAAAAAAAGTTTCGTTAAATTTACAAATCTCCCGGTATAAGAAATTTTATACGTGTGCCGCTTCATAATGAAAAAGAACAGAACTAATATGCGAGAAAATAAAGCGAGTTAAGATAAGAAACAAGTGTTCAAGTAGAGCTACAGTGTTGGCGGTCTTACAAACCGTCGCGACGGAGAATGAATGTCCGGAGCTTCTGCTTTGCCTTCACATGCAATACAAAAAGGTCCGATTGTAATATGCAAGGCGTTCCACTATTGGATTTTCCAAATTGCTGCCTTCCTAAGGAAAAACTGTCAATTGGAGAACATTGTGGCTTGTCGATAAATGTATGTTAATTGAATTTTTTACATTGCGTAATGTGTGACCATAGGATTCGATTTTATTCGGTGATGTTGTATAAAAGATATTTAAAATTATTCTAACATTCCTGGAGAGGTCGACTCACGGGAATTTGAACAAACTTGTATTTTTTATTAATGATAAATAAGTGAACCCAAACCAAAAATATTAGTAAATTTTTCTCATTAATTGTGAATTTGAATTTTATGTTCATTAATACCATTCTCTTGTGTGGGTTCAATTTTATTTAGCGTCCAGAGGCGCATTTTGAATTCAGTTTTGTACTAAGTGTTTGATTAATTACGAATATTAAAAAATATATGTAATTAATTAGTTTTTGACGTAATCATGAGATAGGGCTTGAATTTTTAATTTGTATGGGTTACCTGAAGTACATCTATATTTTGAATCACAAAAAATGTAAAGAAAACTGGAGTTGGAACGAGATTTCCAACAATACATTCAAACAAATCAATTTATATGAGTTTTTTTGATAGTGATAAAATTGAACATTTATCATTACTGAGCTAGCCGCGGCATTAATTACTTCATTCCAAAAAATTCACTTTACAGTAAATTGTTTACCAGTACCGTAGAGAATAAAATTTATTTTCTACAAGAGTAAATGTAATTAAGCTGTTACAGCGTCCCTACAATTCTTGATTTTCGCGATACTTGTAAATTTCCAATCTGAAATGAGAAATGAAATTACAATTACTGCATAAGCGCACAAAAATATGCAATAATGAATTCAAGCTTGATTTTTGAAAATTAAAAAATAATATTGAAGGTAAGGTGATCCTATTGGGATCTCTTCTAATCTTCTAAAATAATTCTAAAATTTCTAAGGATTCTATACTTTTTTCTACAAAGTCTCAATGATCTGAAAAATATTCTAGCTGGATTCTAAAATGATAATCAGAAAATTCTGGAAAAATTTCAAGAATGTTTAAAAATAATCCTTAGAACCGAAGCAGATTATACTAACACTTTGGAATATTGTAAGGTTCTACAAAGGCTCAAGAGGTCCCGCCCTAATAACGAAGAGATTACAAGATTCCAAAATCCTATGATTTCAAGAATCTTCGAATGCTGTTCAATTCGAGAAGACAGAAGAGAAATTAAGTTGATTTTATGTAGCGAAGATAACTCTTATCGCAACGACCGGAGATAACACTTTTACCTACACCACGCAAATATTTCCAAATGTTCCGTATCTTTTAACACTTAGCAAAACTGAACAAGAATCAAACCAAAACAAAAGGCGATCTTTAAAAACTTTTACCTACCAATTAGTGGGAAAATACGAAGTTACTTGCCACAATCATGGACTAATGTCCCGATCCCTTGGTTTTGTTTTAAATGTAATTTATAAGAAAAATATTGTTAACTGGTACTAACGATTCTCAAAACCACCCAATTTGCTTTTCTATCTCCAATTGGGTTAAGTACTTGTTAAATTAAATACCTTATTAACATGACGGAAATGATTTTGTTGTGGCAATAGTTTTTGGAATCATTAATATTGGCATGGATTACACTATACCTCCTATTTAAATGGCCGCTGATTCGTCCGACAACCTGTAGCGATTTCGAACAGCACTTTTACTTGGAAATAGGGTGAATTGTACTATTAATTGTCTATACTTACACATGTCCTATGCTAAAGGAATTAAGTGGGTTAATGAGACATACTTGTCTTGAAAACTGCAGTGTTTGTCAACTGGTCAGAAAACACGGCTCTTAGGGTGTCTTGGTATTTACTAATATTAAATGAATTTTCTTGCATTTAGTTACTTTTTGGGTGGTAGCAGGTACTCGTACTGTGAGTCTTCCATAAATACCTTATATTTATTGGATCGACTTATAACATTTCTAATCAAGGTATTTGCATTAAAAAAATTACAAACTATTCAGTAGGTACAATTTGTCTCAGAAGTGCTATGAATAATTGCACCACCAACCACAATCTATCTTTAAGTGGTATTCGCCGGTTAATTGCATTATTTTCCGGACCGGTAATTAAAACAATCTTATATTCATTGCGGTAAGTAACACTCATTCAAGGTTCTGAATAATTTATAAATAATTTTAGAATGTCATTCTTTTCCATACAACTAAAAACTACATTTTACAAATCTGCCCAAAATACGCGCGCCTAACCGCAAAATTAATTCGATAACGACTTTTCGCCAACTGGGATGGTCAGGTTCACGTATCCTTGAAAACTCTCCATTACGAATCTTTATCTACCTTAGTTGTAATAATTGGGAACTCCGCCACTAAGATTTCAATTTCCTTTGTCGACGCATTAGTATAAATACGTATATGTATTTAGCGGTACGTCATTCCTAAAGCAGCAGTCTAAAGCTCGCCTACGCATTTTCAAGTTTGAACTAAGTGTGGCATTCGTTTTTTAGACACAATGGAATCGAGCGATTTTCGTGAGTTTGGAAAGGCGATGGTGGATTATATCGCGGATTACATGGAAACTATTCGCAATAGGTACGTTTTCTTTTAAATACTGTGCGCCCTTTTACCGGTTTTTCTTTCAGAGACGTGCTTCCATCAGTGACACCGGGTTATTTAGAGAAACATATTCCCAAAGAGACCCCGGTGGACGGTGAAAACTGGAAGGATGTTCTTCACGATGTCGAAAAACTGATAATGCCTGGTGTAACCCATTGGCATTCACCTCATTTTCACGCCTATTATCCCACGGCTCAGTCGTACCCGGCAATTGTCGGCGAAATGCTGAGTGCCGGTATCGGCTGTATCGGCTTCAGTTGGGTAATTCTAATGCTTTTAAACTATGACATCAGGGTGTTGATATCCCGATTTTTTAGATGGCAAGCCCCGCTTGCACTGAGCTGGAAGTGATCACAATGAATTGGTTAGGGAAACTGTTGGGACTCCCTGAGGAATTTCTGAACTGTTCCGAAGGTCCCGGTGGTGGTGTGATACAGGTAAGTTGACCTCTGCCTATTTTTGTAAGCCGCAACTTGTAATTTAGGGATCCGCGAGTGAATCTACGCTAGTAGGTTTATTGGCCGCCAAAGAAAAGATGGTTAGGTCAACACAAAAAAATAATCCATCTCTCTCAGAGGGTGACATCAAAGGAAAGCTAGTGGCGTACACATCCGATCAAGCTAACTCCTCAGTGGAGAAATCTGGAATATTAGCTTCGGTACCCATGATCCATTTGCCAAGCGACACCAAAGGTAGGCTTAGCGGCGATGTTCTACGAGAAGCTATCAGAAGAGATAAAGCGGCCGGGTTAATTCCGTGCTACGTCGTGGCAACGCTAGGCACGACAGGTACTTGTGCATTTGATAATTTGGAAGAACTGGGAGCCGTGTGCAATGAAGAAGGGGTTTGGCTACACGTAGACGCAGCTTATGCCGGTGCCGCATTCGTTTGTCCAGAGTACCGATACCTAATGAAAGGCGTCGAGTTATGCGATTCATTTACTTTTAACGCACACAAATGGATGCTCGTTAATTTCGATTGCTCCGCACTGTGGGTTAAGGACGCTAGGTACTTAGTGGAAGCTTTTAACGTGGATAGGATATACTTGCAACACCAACACGAAGGAAAGGCGCCGGATTACCGTCACTGGCAAATTCCGCTAGGGCGTAGATTTCGAGCTTTGAAACTGTGGTTCGTTTTACGTATTTACGGAACGGAAGGTATTCGTCGACACATCAGAAACCACATCAGTCTCGCTAAACATTTTCAAGAATTAGTGCTTAATGATTCACGATTTGAAGTAGTAACCAGCAATTTAGGTTTAGTGTGCTTTAGACTTCAAGGAGACGATTCCTTGACAAAAGAACTGCTAGAAAAGGTTACTGCCAACAAGAAACTTTACTTGATCCCCTGTTATACTCAACAAAAGTTTGTGATTCGTTTCGTTGTGTGCAGCAGAATAACGACAATTGAGGATATCAATTGTTCATGGGCAGAGATTATTTCCCATGCAAATACAATAGTACCTTACACAACAGACAATTCAATTATGCACGAACCCAGAAAGAACGATTATATCAATTTAACAACGTATCAAGAACCTGATGATAGTATGAACGAGAAATCTAAGTAAAATTTGGCTAATGTGCAATTTCGGAAAAAAACTTTTTAATAAAATGTGATATTTGTTCAATTTTTAATGCCTATTGTCTTGCAGTAACTTTAATTCAATGCCAATGCGATGAGTTTTATGACCCAATTTTGCAACAACTTTTTCAATTTACCTACTGTTTAAGGATACCATAAAAATAATGTAGGATTGAGGAAATTTAACCTTACAGTCTGTCGGTGTATTTCACTTTTTTTAATTGACTTAAAATTTCCAAAACGGAAAGTCACAGATGTATCCCATTACTTAAACGACTGGTTTTGTGATCTAATTAGTAGTTTCTTAATTGGAATATTAGTGATAACTGATAATAGAATATATTGCATTGGGAAATTACGGAAGAACATAACCCCATAATAATATCCCGAGCAGCAAAGCAACGGGTTCGCCAAGGGCACTTTCCAGAATTTACTTTACCTTACCTAATATCATAGTATTATATTATGCTAATATCATAATATATATGCTAATATGTAATAACTGTTAAAGAAAGTTGTACCGAGTGCTTAGTTAAATTTTGCATTTTCGAGAATGCGACTACCTAATTTTTTAAATAGAAATCTCTTTCTTATGGTGGTCGCCAATACTTTCACCACTGAAAATAAGGGTATTTTCTATTTGAACCCATGAACAATTTTTCGCCTCCACATAATTCATCCTCCGAAAGTCCATCTTCGGAAAATTCCGCCCATAATATTAAACGCGGAAACTTTTGCTCTGGGAGCTTCAAGAAAGCTTTTGAATATTCAGGAAGTGTAACTTTTCAGAGCCGAATTAATTTTTAGGTACCTTCTGCGCCATCTATCGATTATTAAAGAAATTTCAATATTGCCTATGTACGTTATAAAGTTTCTCACTAGAGGAAGAGGGTGAAGATATTTATTTTGTACCGATCCACATTCTTTTTAATTTTTGATCACTTGTTAAAGTTCAAGTCGCCTGTTAGTTTATACCTACACTTAAGAGTGCCATTGGTCTCACTAATGTCGCTGTTCATGGCCGTTTCCTGTTTGTGGTTGAACCTGCTGTTATCGTTTATCTTGGTGATGTTATTGCCATTTCTCCTGAATTCTTAACGTACCTAAAGCATAGCTAAAGTGTTTGATCGATGTACAAATGCTGGACTTACTGTTAGTCTTGAGAAGTAACAATTCTGTAGACGTCAATAAAAATATTTGGGTTATATTTTTATGAAGTTTTCCATTTTGCCGGTGAGGTAATTTTTCAGGAAAGTATACTGAGAAGAACAGGCAAATAGTATTATAGTTTCTTTAATGGCGATCGATTTCGGGCTTGACATTTATTGCCCATCATCAGGCCATGCCGAAATCTACTGTACCTTTTTTCAGCACTGTTCTTCTTAGTGCTTCCCTGAAAAATATTTGGGTTATGTTGTAAATCAACATGGCTTAAGACCAGTCCCTGCTATTTTACAGATTAATTTCCCGAGTAATATTAAAGATTCAATACGTTTCTTAGGTATTACCTCTTGGTACGGACGCTTCATTCCTGAATATACTACTATAACCGCACTCTTGAACGCGCTTCTAAAAAACAATAGGTGCACCATGGAAATGGACGGAATCTTGTGAAATTTCTTTTGTTTGCCTTACAAAAATATGTCTGACCCATTGCATTGAATAAAAAATTGATTATTCAATGCCCATTTGTTAGTTGTCCTAAGTTTTCTCTACAGTTTTCTTTGCAAACTGACGCCTCTTCGTTTAGAATTGGTACAGTTTTAGGTCAAAAATTTCCCGATTGTGAAATAGTTATTTTTACAACTAGAGAAGAAAGTTTTCTCAAGTTTTACACATAATTTTTTCTGAAACTACAATCAAAATTGAAAAATTATCATATCCAAAAATGAAGTTTGACACAGCAATCTAGATATGAGTATGTTTCAATTTTAAATATCATTATTAAGATTAAAGCAGAAATTGTTTTTCACTTTCCTCACTAGAGAGAAAAATCACATTTTTTTCGCCCTTTTTGGAGACAAAAGTAGTAGTTTCTAATGTAGTTTCAGAAAAAGGTCGTTCACTACCTTTCGCGATCATTGAGCCGTCAAGAGAGAAATCATTCGACTAGAGAAAAGAGATGTCTTGTACAAAGTTAGGAAAAAATGGAAATCTTAATTCCATGTCGCTTACTTGTTTCTTAATTTACTCGGTAACATACAAACCTCTTGTGCAATTATAAGTGAAAACAAATAGTTTTTTTCCGAATAAAAGGCATCCTTATCTCTAGATAATTGCATTAATTTTTTATAAAAATAAACGAATTCTAATAAATCAAATCTGAACAGTCACAAATGAATTAACAAAACAAATTGACAGCCAAAATTGAGATAATTACTATCTTTAATAATTCCTTTTTTTATCCTTCTAAATTGGGATCCATCTTGTGAACTCTAAATGGGGTTTCAAACTTCTTCCAAATTTAATAAATATACCTTCCCCATGAAATTTATAAATTTCATGGGGAAGGTATATTTATTAAATTTGGAAGAAGTCTTCATGGTACTCTAATGGAAGGAATTAATTTCTACCAACCATAGCCCTCCTTCTCGACCACTTATCGTGATCGGGTATATTCCCTTATACTTCAAGAACTGATTGTCGAAAGAGAGTACTCACAGAGGGCGATTGAGATGTCTGCAAGAAATATATCCATTGGTGATGTCAAAACAAAAGCTATTTCGGTTTAAAAAATGCGCTTTATCTGCACAAGAGTTGTGCACAATTTATACTTGTTTTGTATTCCATTCAAATCAATACTTAATCAACATAAAAGTTGAGAATGTAGCACAGTGGGATTTATATTTTATACATGTTTCTACCCAGGACAATGCAATCTTTGAATAGGTATTTATAATCAAAGAATGCAATGCTACTAATTAAATCCGTAAAGGCGAAACTTTTGAATATGAAATGCGAAAGAAGAATAAAGATGCAATTATTTCAATGCGTAAAAGCACAAACCCATAGTCGTATGTTACAGCTTTGAGGAACTTGAGGAAATCGTTTTAATCCCAAATTACTGTTCTGCAAATGTAGTATAGACATCTAGTGGTATTTAGTAGTAATATATTTCTGCCTATCGCTAAAGAACACTTTAATAATTTAGTTATTATTTGCTATAATACACAGCCATTTTAGTAAACTGTAAATATATGTAAGTACAATCTTTGATATAATCCAAAGTTACCGTATACAGTAACCTGTAACGGTGAGCATTTGTGCTTTATACATTGTACTTGTACCATTGACTAATACTCCCATTAGTCAATGATTGTACCCATTTAATAAAGATGGACATATCCATAGAATATTTCTACTTATAAAACAAACCCCGAGATAAAACGAAAGAGCATTATTAGCATTAAATTATAAATTCAATGATTATTTGTACAAATCAAAATGTGAAATCACCATTTGCCTTTATATAATACTTATTGTAGATAATGGTCTTTACGTAAGGGACATAAGCACAAAGCGAATGGCTTTTTCATTATACGAGTTTTTAGAAACTTTTTGGAAAATCAAAAATGACTCAAGGAAACCCATTATTTGAAGATTTTCTTACCTAAATCTCATTTTCAACATCAACTGAACTGGAATCTCACGCTGTAGGTAGGTAGTTTAAATTAAATATGGACCTACCTATTATATAGGTACCTACTATAAAATTGAGTACCTATATATTGATTCCAAAAAATTTATAATCAACGAGCTCCTAGCGAGTTTATAATTTTGCGGTGTCTGTCCGTCCGTCTGTCCGCCCGTCCGTTAGCAAGATACCCATAAACGAATGGACCGATTACGATGAAATTTTGCAGGATTCTTTATAAAATTTGTGGATCGGAGTTCGTGAATTGGCAATGTAGACAAAAAAATAAAGTAGGCCCTTTTGACATCTCCGTTAGTTATGAATCGAATTGCAGGAAATTCAATATGCACATAGCTTTAGCCATATAAAACACAATTTCACAAGTTGAGCCTAATCAATCAGCATTCACAGTGCCCTTTGCGCATCTCGACCATTTACAGACCGAATTGCAAACTTTCTTATTTATGAAGGTATTTAAATGAAATTTGAAACATAGCCACTTGGAATAAAAGCAAATTTAACGTCAGTTTCAAAATTTGGTTTTGCGCATGCGCAGGGCCAACTTTTTTATTTATGGAGGGATTCAAATGAAATTTGATACATAGCCACTTGGAATAAAAGCAAATGTAGCGCCATTTTCCAAATTTGGTTTTGTGTAGGATGTGCGGTGCCAACTTTCTTATTTATGGAAGCAATTAAACGAAATTTCATACATAACTAACATCCGGTTTAAAATTTGGTTTTGCATTTGCTATAGCCATACCCAGGAGCTCGTTTGCTATATTTGTTTAATTTATTTGTTTTAATGGCTCCACACAGCCAGATACTAAACACCTTTTTCGTATATTTGGTGTAGTAGTTAATATTCCACTTATATATTACTCCAATATTTCCAGTTCAATATGTTCTTATCTTACCTATCTTCAAATAAGTAAATAAGTATTATATAACTATTGTATTATCCACAACGCTAACTGAACACTTCAGTTAAAAAATAAATTTCATGCGTTTTGGAATTGGAGACACACAGGCAGTATCACGTTAATTGGGAGTTAAAAATAGTTTATTGCACCACCGATTTCGGGGTAATTAAAAATTGAGCTTTGTTGCACTAGAAAAATTTGTTCAGGGGGGCTAAAAATCATTTCTATTGCCACCAAAACTTCCACTCGACTCCAGTTTGTGTAGCCCTCGTGGGTGGTAACGTCTCTGTTACGAGATTTTGTAACGGGAGCTCGCTTTGCAGTTTAAATTTTTCGTGTACAAAATTGCTTATGTACCTACTGCTTCACAATAAAGTATGAATAAAATCCTAAATTTCGGAGACAACTAACATTAATACATGCACTATGCAGTTATCTTTTATCTTTTGGCATTAAAGTAATCTAACCTAACCTTACCTTTAATTTTCTCGGCGAAAACTTGTTGGTTGTTACCTACTGTTGAAGAAAAGGACCAAAGGAAGCTCACCCCAATTAGGTAACAAGTAAAACTTTTACTTTTATGGCTGGTTAACCGATAGTTGAGTTGAACTCCAAATTTACATCTAAATCTACGTGCACGCATTAGTTTTGCGCAAGTAACTAAAATTGTACGAGTATTATTTATAAAAAGTGGAAGTAACAAAATCGCGGCAAAATTGTTCATATATAAATCCGTTTTCATTTGGAAGGTATTGTTCTGGATGTATGTTCTTCAATTATATAGTCACTGAATAAGAACATACAAAACAAATAATGGTACCACTGTAGGTCCTTAATCAGGTTCTCTGACAACAACCAATCGCAATATACGTCACTTTGCAACTTTCAAAATGCTCATGTGACATCTAAATTTGCAGTTTGTTATCACAATGTTTATTTTTAGGGTATTTCTTAGGAATAATTCAATCAAAATTTCAAAAACCCATTTGTAAGTAGCAGCTCAGCCAAGTCTAGTTTCTGTTCTATCCTTTCTTAGAGATTGGACATCGCGCCGTTCAAAATTGTTCCACACGACAACCCCGAAAAAAGGTGACTGCGGACAATATGACGTTTGTACTATATCGGAAGGTATGGTGGACCCTTGCAAACCAGAACCCACAATCGTTATTATTGGCGCCGGGATTGCCGGATTGTCAGCAGCGCACCGTCTAACACAGTGTGGCATTAGTAACATTACCGTTTTGGAGGCAATTGACAGGTTAGTCACCTAGAAGTTGAAGTTAAATACAACAAATTCAAGTGTAGGCCTGGAGGTAGAATCCATTCCTGCTGGTTAGGCGATGTGATCGCAGAAATGGGAGCGCAAAACATCGAGGGAAGCTGCATAGCCAATCCAATATATACATTAGCCTGTCAGGAGGGTTTACTAAAACCGCCAATTCGTCGAAGTAATCCATTGCACAATCTCTATTGTACTAGTGATGGCCGAGCCGTGGACGTGCCGATTTCGATTTCCGCCTTTCACACTTTTCAACAGATTGAACATGAAGCAATGCTGTTATTCAGCATGAATACGGGACGCCAACATGGTTCTTTGAAAAACTTCTTCGCAATACGCATACAACAAGAACTGCAACATTTTCCCGAAGAACAGCGCTATGACGCCGCTCGAGTTATGTACGGTTTAACTAATGTGATTCGTCAACGTACCGGGGAGGATTTAAGTCAAGTTAGTGCAGATAATTACGGCAGTTTCATTGTCGTACCCGGTGGTTCCATACGGGTTCCCTTTGGGTATGTTGGAATTCTTGCACCACTGCTACGGGACCTGCCAGAATGCGCCGTGAAGTATAATAAGCCCGTCCAGTGTATACGTTGGGGTGCGGTTACCCAAAAGGAAGGAAGTTCAAGGGCGGTAGTGCATTGCTGTGACGGTGAGGAGTATTGCTGTGACTACGTAATTATTACTGTTTCGCTCGGAGTTTTGAAGCAACATGCTGATAAACTGTTTTGTCCTACTTTACCGGCGGAGAAAATGGAAGCAATACATAATTTAGGCTTCGGGCAGCTAAACAAAGTATTTTTGGACTATGCCAGACCGTTCTGGGTGTGGTCTGAAGGTGGTCTTAGATTTGCGTGGTCGGCCGAAGAGTTAGAATGCAGGAAGGATTGGACGAAGGGGCTCAGTGTAGTAGAAGAGGTTGAGGGAAGCAAGCACGTACTGTGTGCGAGTGTTTGTGGTCCCGAGGCGAAACAAATGGAGCAAGCCTCAGATGAGGAGGTAGCGGCGGGTGTGACTAAGGTGCTAAGGCAGTTTACTGGTGATGCATCGCTGCCGTATCCCAATACCATTTTAAGATCGAAATGGTCCAATGACCCATACTTTTGCGGAGCGTACAGCTTCATGAGCCTATCGTCTACTGTGGGCCATCAATGTGATCTTTCTAGCCCTCTGCCGGGACCATGCGAACCTGTACCTCCCATATTACTATTTGCGGGCGAAGCTACTTGTGCTGGACACTATTCAACTGTACACGGAGCTAGACTAAGTGGAATAAGGGAAGCGGAGAGAATTATTCAGTTAACAAAGAAGATTGGGGGACCGCCTCCAAAACGTTAGACAGAATTTAGAAACAATGTGCAGTGTTTTCTTATCACGTAAATACCAAATGTATGCTTGACGTTTTGGTAAAGTAATAAAAACCGTCTTCCTCGCTTACGTAAATCTTTAAATCAATAATTGTAGTTTCTTTATCCCAAACTAGTGCCCAGCAAAGAATTTTTGTGACATAGTATACATGTGATACATTTTTATTGTAGCTACGTTTCGATTCCAATTAAACACTCCTTGCGGGGGCAAAAATTTACAATTATCGTATTATATATCTGACTAACTCAATCTAGTACATAAGCTAGCATATCAAAATACAAATAATCAAGGACCGACACCCCGACATCATCGAGATTTTGTTTGATATGGATTCCTGGTGCTTCAAAACGTGTATTTCCGAAAAAAATGTAGGGGGGTCACCTTTCCTTATGGGGAAGGGGTGCTATTTTGTTGAACACGTTTGTGGCTGTTTATTCTTTGAATCTGTGACTTTTCTCTCGCCTCAAATTTCCGCTTACACCTAAACCGTGGGTCGATCCATATAAATTAAATCATTCTTAGTAGCTTGTCTATTGTAACATTTATAACTATACTCGCTGCTTTTAATTAAAATGTCATCAAACTAAGGGTTTTGGTTGGATTTGTAGCTAAAGATTGTTTGGCCGTGCAAATAAATAATGTATCCTTTGTCAACATTAGTTATACTTCGTTCACGCCACTAATACATATATACACTATTCTCTCGCTAAATACATTAAATAAATATATATACATCGATTTTAAATACACATCAAACTACATTACTAAAGCCAAGAGTTGGTCCATAGGATTGTTGCCTCAAACGTTGAAAATACTTTAGTGGTGTCCATTAACGCCATTCGTGCCATTCGTAGTTTGAATACCATTACTACCATTAATACTCTTAATACCGTTTACTTTTATAACGTTATTATCCTCGACAATCTCTTTAGCTGCCGCTTGAATTTCGTTCCACGACACTTGGATATCGTGTTTTTCGGTATATCGTGAGCAAATTGCCAATCTGAGGAAGTATTGATCGCCAATTTTCGACGGGACGAGATGAATAACGCCCCTTCCGTTAATTTTCTTTAACAAACTCTCGTTAAGCTCATTCGAACCTTTCAGCCTGAAGCAGACCAGTCCCATGAGCACTTCGGCGGTAATTTCGAAACGTTTGTCTTCGTTAACGAGCGTCTCGAAATGATGCGCCAGTGCAATTTGCTTTCTGATATGCATTTGCAGGTTCTCGATACCGTACAGACGTAAAACGAACCACATTTTTAGCGATCGGAAACGGCGTCCCAGAGGGATTTGCCAGTGTCTGTAATCGGGAGCGCTGCCCTGCTGATCGTGCTTTAGGTACAAGGGGTCCACGTTGAAGGCATTCACAACCCAGTACGGATTTTTCAACCACATCGTTGAGCAATCGAAGTTGATCAACAGCCATTTGTGTGGGTTGAAGTTGAAGGAGTCGGCCTTTTCGACTCCCTTCATCAAGTATCGATACTCTGGACATATGAATGCGGATCCGGCGTACGCTGCGTCGACGTGTAACCAAACCTCGTATTTGTTGCAGACATCGCCGAGCTCTTCAAGCTTGTCAAAGGCGCAGGAGGAGGTTGTTCCCAAAGTACCAACAGCCTGAAACAAACAGTTTGTTCATTAGTGACGTTTATCGTCTATAGAGCGTAAAAATAAAACAATTCTTAATGGAAATCTATTGTTAACGAAAAAAAAAGCTTTTAGCTTTAGAAAAATTGGGATCGGATTCGCATTACTGCCAAGCTAATGATGTATGTACTTTTGGTACGTGACATTTAAGCATCGTAAACAATGTCGCCTTTGGCCTAATTCCTACTTTGGAAATTTAATTCAGAGATTATAATCAATAAAACAAAAAATTTCCAAATAAACCAAACTAACATAAAGTGGCGTATTTAAGAAAAAAAGGTGAATTTGTTCGTGTCGTAACCGGGAATATTGCGGAGGGTTACCGAATTAATACGTGAGTGAACATTTTCTTTCATTTCGGTGTAGGTATATTTGGATTGGCGTTATTGCGTTTAAATAAATTGATACCGCGAAAGCGTTAGGGTCCCAGGTCCAAATAATTTGCATTGCATTATTTGTTGTAGTGGCAAATTACGTTAAAAAACAAGTTCAGTAATTAAAATTCTGAGCCTAATTTCTTTATTATTTATTTTATTATAAATAAATTAACCATAACCGGTAAAAAGGCTTTTTAGCTATCAAAACCAAACGTTATAAGAGTAATTTTGGACATTCTCTACTGGCAAAGATTGGTAATTTTTCCAGTAAATTTTTGCTAGAAGTCATTTTTATATTCCTGAAGAGGTCGATTTACGCCCCGCCCCATGAACATTTTTGTGTATTTTTTATGATGATCGACCACCCAGACCAAAGATATTATTCTTTTTTTTCTCATTAATATATTGCAAAATTAGAATTTCAAGTTCAGTAATGCTAGTCTTTTGAGTACAATTTTGTACTAGGTGTTTGATTGTTAAATAATTGATTACAATTGCTCATGATCATGAGACAGGCTTGAAATTTTTATTTTCTATTAATTACATGAAATGCCTACATCTGTCTAAGTGTACAGAAAACTGGAGTGGGGCCGATTTTATTTTGAAAGATATATAGTGAGCGGCAAAATGTTGAACAAATTCGTTTAAAAATCAGGAGTTGGGTTTCAAAAAATGCTCGCTCACGTCTATCATAATTTTTTCTTGTGCACTTTTTTCATTAAAAAGGAAATATACAGGGTGCATCAAAAAGTAGATTTTGGTACCACAGTTGATTTTTTTAAATGAACAATGTTTTTCAAATCCAGTTTTTGAATTCTGTGTCAAATTCTATGCACCATTCATGTAGCATGTCGTATACCTATCTTTAACCCTTTCGGAGCAAAACTAAGAAAACCACAATTCAAATTTAGGTACATATCTAAATTTTTGACGCATCCTGTATATTTTCTCTTTACCGCAAAAAAAAAGCAAGAACAAATTATGATAGACGTGCGAGCATTTTTTTTAAATCCAACACCTGATTTTTAAATAATTTTTTTCCACATTTTAACCGCTCATTGTATTCAATTTATATGAGTAGGTACTTATTTGAGAGTGATTATGTATTAAAAGTCCGGTCCATAAATATGAAAGTCACTTCAAGTGTGGTAAATTTGTATCATATCTTTCTGCTCTGCACTTGAAAAAGGCTTTTTTGCAATAAAACTAGCATAAACGTAAATGACAATACTTGAAAGAGGATAAAACTGTCAAACTTTCCTTTATAACAAAAGACGATTTGTTTTTCCAAAGCACTCTTCTCAAAAAAATGAAAAATTCATTTTTAGGAAAAATTTGATACTGAACCACCATGTGTGATACATCGTTGTAAAGAGAAGAAAAAACGTCATCTCAAAATGTCAAAATCCAAAATGGCGTCCGTAAGAAAAATTAAAGTTTCCACGTGTTTCTCCGTCATCTTGAAAAGTATTAAAAACGGGATTCCATATTCGAATCTCCCATAAAAGGGGTCTGAACAACATTTCTCTTCATATCTAGTACCATTAGTTTATCATGAAAACATTAAAAATGAAAATCAGAAGTTTTCGTTTTTTTGCTATATTTTCAAAACAATTGAAGATTTTTTCAGACTATTATTTAGCACGAAAACTCGCTACTTTTCCTCATCAATACAATGAGAGATAAAATTAATTTTTAACCCCCCTCCCCTTTACCCCCCCCCCCCCGTTCATGGTTTTGGACTATCTGTCCGTCCGTCTGCGTTTGTCGCTCGTTGTCTATATTGGTTTGAAACAGTTTATTGTAGGTATGACTCAAAAGTCATATAAACATAGGTCCATAAACGCTTTGTTACTAATGTGTACAGAATGTTATAGTTCTACCTTACACGTTACAATAATTTAAACCTTTAATTTATAAACATATGCAACTACAAGGTACAATTTTCAATACCAACTGTCTAACTACATAAAAATTCTTGTTTCACAATCTACCAGTGAGGGGTAGAAAATGGATCGTAACCCCTGAAAGAAACATCACCCTGATTTCTCACTGGCACTGGCATGACCAACTTTTATTTCAAATTTGAGCGAAATATCTCAATAAAGGCAGGAAATATAAAGGAAAAACTTACACATCTTGAAATTTCGAGACCCTGGAGATCGATAACGAAGCATTTGCGCACCTATGTTTATATGAATTTTTAGGCCGAAAATAATCCAAAAAACTAACCCCTTCCGTATATACATCATATACATCATGTTTAGAAACCTTTTGTATTTATTTTTTATTCTTTTATCTTTCATTCACTTTACACAAGTGAACACAAAACTCAATAACCATATAAGAAACAGTACACAAAAACGAAAATTGAACATAATCTTCAAAGTTATACACAATCCCACGATATAGTTGATCTTATTCCAGAATAACGCAAAAATACAACTTGGGAGGCCTCATTACAACATATAACAGCCATGGTCTAACACTGTAATGTGTTAGGAAAAGAACATGAGACAAGGGGACAAGTAAATCCAAATGGTTCTCTCTCAGTATCCATTCGGACGTATGGAAAACCCACAATCCAGTCATTTCCCAAGAATATTGAAAGAAAAAGCTCGTTGAAAAAATGGAAAGTAGGGATGGATGTTGAAAATACAACATGTTCAAAAATCTCAAAACTACTATTCAACTTTAATGACATTCAAAGTGCAGAACTCTCTTGCCATAAGTAAACAACAAACATTCTCCTTCGAGAATGTATCAATGTACACATTCATTCAAACCGACGCCGTCATAATACGGAACAATAACGATTAACAGATGTTCGTCCATGAACCAAAACCTTGACTTTCCAATATTTGAGGTGTATAATCCGATCACTTCCTCAATAATCGCGTGAGGAAAGGACAGGTAGCAAACAATGCAACCTTGTGTATATTCGCGACTAATTAGAGAATTATTTTAAACATCACACTTACATAAAACGGTATAAGGCCGTCTTCAATGTCTTTCTGTATGGCCTCCCTTAAAGTACTTCCAGTTAACCTATGCTTATCATCGGTAGGAAGTGAACGCATTCGGACACCTCCCAGCAGACCGGCTCGCTCTACCGACGAATGACTTTGACCTGAAAAACGATACATTTTAAATTACATTTTTAATTTGGGAGTTCATGACAATAAATCACTTACTGGAAGTATACGCAACAAGTCTCTCGATGATATGGCTCTCCGTCCATTCGGGATGTTCCCCTTTAACCGTAGCAATTTTTCTCGCCTTCGCTCCAAGTAGTGCGACTAAAGTGGCTTCACTAGCAGTTCCCTGAATGACACCGCCGCCCTTTCCTCCAGAACACGCCAGAAACTCGGCGGGCAAATCCAACATTTTTCCCAACCAGTCCAACATCACGACCTCCAATTCGGTACATGCTGGACTCGCAATCTGAATTAAAAGAGTAGAATATAATAGGTCGGGTTGTCATTTACACAAAGGGATTGCTAGAAAGTCAATTTCCCTTATCCGCTTTCGGAGCGCACCCGCTTTCAAGCTTTATTGCTCCGAGATCTCTTAAGGTATTTCACTCGCTATCCTTCTTTGTCATCCGGGTGAATGCAATGGAGACTAATTTATGTATTTTCAATTAGTACAAAAAAAAAATAAGGCGTCGAAGGTTACACACGTTCTGTTCTAGTTATTTTTCAATTTCCATTCTACGTTTATATGACATTTGTAAGGTCCTTGCAAATTATTCAGTGCAGTTATAAATTCCACAATCAAAGTTACGTCGAACAAAATTTTTTCTTTCTTCCATTACAAGAAAAATGACTGGAAAATGTCACGTATAATATAAAGTAACAGCGGAAAGGAATTAATGGCAATAGAACAAAGTGCAGGAATTTGAAGGGTACCTACATTAGAAAAAAATATGGAGCAGTCACGCTAACATTCAAGGTAAGCTTCGAAGAGATGCAGGTGTCCTGTATAAGACGAAGAAAATAATCAGTCCCAATGCGATCGGGGATTCCATCTTCCACAAGTTTTACGGTTATTGCGAAAAAGAAAGTACGTACGAAATAAACAAGCATGACGCAAACTTACCCATGAAAATCCTATGCACGCGATTGCTCCACTGAGAATATCAGCAACAATTGCTGGGTACGAGTTTGCAGTGGGAAAATAGGCATGAAACTTTGGCGAGTGCCAGTGAGTTACCTAAAATTAATAAATTAATCAATGTCGTATTTCATAATCGGAAATCTTACGCCGGGCATAATCAATTTTTCAACGTCTGCCAAAACGTCTTCCCATCTATCCGGTTTATTTGGCGCCTGTTCCGGTAACAACGGACGCAAGTAGCCAGGTTCAACAGTTGGTAAAACGCGCCTAGAAACGGTAAACAGCCGCTTTAGGTCAAGGTTCTACTAAGCAAATTGCTCAGTCGAGCGCATATCACTTTTACTATTAAAAAATAACAACAAACAAATACGATTTTCTTTAAAATCGTTAATTTCCTGATTAAATACTTGGAGTCTGTAATGTGTGCCCCTTTGAACTATGGAAAGTGGCAGTAGAGTTAAAATTTTGCAAAGTTATCCAAAGAGTTAATTGAAATTTATCACTGACACAAAGAAGTTTAATAGTGCGTTTAAGCCCGCAATCATTTCATAAAACTTATTAATCAAAAGTCCTTGATGGCCTAACTAAAGCTTTCATTGCTTTAAACACAATAGAACAAATTGCCAAGTACATTGTAAAATCCTTACCGATCTCTAATATTCTCCAAGTAATTTGCGACATAGTCGATCATTTCCTTTCCAAAATCCTTAAACTGATTAGCTTCCATTTCTGAAAGCAGATAGCGCAATTAGAAACTTCATATAATAAGATTACTTCAATACGCTTGAAACGTAACAAAATTAGTGTCAAGATTTTAACTAAATACATTCAATTTTGCAATTACGAGAAGAAGGTCGATTAAACAAATAAATTGCGCAATTGTCAACCGAAGACTAACTACTATAATAATCTCGTGCAAAATAAAATTTGAAACTCATTACATTGTTCAACTTTAGACTAACCGCCCTTTAATGAAATCTCCGCAAAATCCATTGCGAGTCTAAATTAAATCACGCACCTTATTTGCTATCGTAAATAAATAAATAAATAATTAACACTCGATCAACTCTTCACCACACTCTTTGATAAAATACAATACATTGCCAGTGAGGAATTGCTTAAATCTCAGCAGGAGGAGAAGTGGAGGGCCCCACTTTCAGGCTGGTATCGATCATTACCTTCATGTGCAGAAACAACCGAAGGGTTTTCCACTTGCAAATCATTTATCTATAATATAAAAAATGGTGTTGCGGGAAGGCCAATGTGGTTCTTTAGCGCGAAATTTGCGTAGAATACTTCGTAAAATTAGACGGTGGTTTTGTTTTATCGCAAACTACGTTAAAATATCTACCGCATTTTGAAGTATATTTTTAACCTTTTATCTTAAAGTACGCATTTTCGCAATTGAAAGTGAACTTTGGCGGTAATGTTGACAATTACGTAATATAAAAGTTTTCTTCCTCATTGATTGGACACTAACTACCCTTGAAAATTGAAATGAAATTAATTACGGTTCCGTTTGACCCCTAAGAGTTAAGTTGTCACAAATGAGAACGTAATTTCTAATATTTCTATCGCGCTGGTATAATTTATGCTTGAATGACATATGAAAATTGCTAAATCATTAACCAAATTACCACAGCGTTAGTTAAAATTGAGCCACTTGAATTGCCAAAATCCCATCGAACTCGAAGGAGTACATTTTGGCGTTTCCCAAGAAAATTAGCAAAATTGGTTACTTTTTTACCCTTAATTGTCTTCAATCATAATATGTGGAGACTATCAGAAAATACCATTTAATATCAACAAGTGCCAGAGATTAACAAGCATACCAGGTACCTCATGGTAAAAATGACCTTTCGACTAAAGTTCCTGCTTAATGGTAATTACTACCATTTTAATTCTAATTTATTAACTTACGTGATGGAGGTACAACGATTGTAAGAAAAATAATTGAAGAAATGAACGTTTGATTTGTTATAACCTATACAGGATTTAACATACAACTATGCAGGGGTAATATGGGAAAGTGGAAATGATACGCTTATCAAAATTTTCACTCAAAGGTCCTCGACCATTGACAACTTTTTTTTAAATAGTAACAGTTTTGTACACTTCCTGATATACCGGAAGTAGTCGCAAGTTTTCTTATTTTAAATAGTAACCCCCATTTTTAGCCCATTTTTTTAAGAATTAAAAACAATAACTCTTGTGCAGATAAATCGCATTTTTTTAAAACCGAAAAAACTTTTGTTTTGACATCACCAATGGATATATTTCTTGCAGACGTTTCAATCGCCCTTTGCGAGTACCCCTTTCCGACAATCCTTTCTTGAGGTTTAAGGGAATATACCCGATCACGATAAGAGGTCGAGGAGGAGGGCTATGGTTGGTAGAAATTAATTCCTTTCGTTGAGACCTTTCATTAGAGTACCCTGAATGATAAAACTAGTTCCACTCCCCCCCCTACACTACCACCCCTTACTTTGATAAGAGGACAGCAAGAAGGGCAGTAGTTGTTAGAAAACGGTTCCTTTCGTTGAGACCTTTAATTAGAATACAATGAGAGATAAAATTAATTTTTAATTAAATTTATTAAATTTATTAATTAAATTTAAAATGGTGGTAATTCGAATAATCATAATCATTTTTCATAATAATATACGGGGTCTTCACAAATTACAAAAATAGTTGCTTCGGTTTTTTTTAAACTCGGATTTTTTAAATGGAAACCCCTTTCTATTTCAGATACATACAGGGTGTTTTTTTGGGAGCTTTAGTTAAAAGTTTCTGGGAAAGTAAAATAGGTAGGATTTTGAAAATTTGTACTTAGGTGTTACTCTGAAGGCCGAATCGATGTAAAATATTTTCAAAATGGCCGCACTTCCGGAAACACCGGAAGTAGATAGTAACTTCGTTATTTTAAATGGCAACCCCTATTTTTTATTGCTTTTTTGGATTCTACGTGAAATTTCACTTCTTTTGATACCCATATGTCGATATCTACCATTTATGGTTTTTAAGTTATTTTGACTTTAAGAAAAAAAATGGCGGATGCAGATGGTACCTTGATAATTGATTACTTGCAAACGGTTGTAGTCATGGCAACCTATTTTTATCAGTGCATAGAGAATGAATAGGGCTTTCTTTTACCTGTACTTAAAACAAGTTAAGTTGCGTACAACCGCACCTATGGAGATCCAAATATGCCCATTTCGATTCTCTATCTCATGGAATAGTAAGAACATGGTCATTCCATTAAAAAAAACTGAGTTTTTAGTCTTTGAAGTTTCATAAATTTGGATATCCATAGGGGCGGTCGTACGCAACTTAACTTTTTTTTAAGTGCACTAAAAGAAAGCCCTATTCATTCTCTATGCACTGATAAAAATAGGTTGCCATGACTACAACCGTTTGCAAGTAATCAATTATCAAGGTACCATCTGCATCCGCCATTTTTTTTCTTAAAGTCAAAATAACTTAAAAACCATAAATGGTAGATATCGACATATGGGTATCAAAAGAAGTGAAATTTCACGTAGAATCCAAAAAAGCAATAAAAAATAGGGGTTGCCATTTAAAATAACGAAGTTACTATCTACTTCCGGTGTTTCCGGAAGTGCGGCCATTTTGAAAATATTTTACATCGATTCGGCCTTCAGAGTAACTCCTAAGTACAAATTTTCAAAAACCTACCTATTTTACTTTCCCAGAAACTTTTAACTAAAGCTCCCAAAAAAACACCCTGTATAGTCATAGGGCAACAGACAACCCTTACGTAGTTAGAGAAAAAAATGTCCAAAACGTGGAGAACTTTTTCTTTGCCGATTTATATACCATTTAAGTAACCTTCGAATTGTACTCTTATTTAAGTTCTTACTCAAATGTATATCCGATTTTCTCACGCCATCTAGGTATTTCCTTTGTAAACCCCTGCAGTGAAAATGTACTAGATTTTTGATTACTGTAGTTCTTTGTTTCGCCGTTAGAGGCTATCTATTATAGGTTCCTTTTACCTAGTTCTTTGTTTCGTCGCTAAAGGTTGTGATCTTTTTTTTCTACTTCAGCCTTCTTTTCAGTGAAGATTCTGCCGTCATATTAGCTGGTTGCAAATTATTTCTTCGGCACGCCATTACTTTTCTACTGACTTTTGTATACAAGGGCGTAGAGTGATTTCTTTTTCTTTTTGTATGTCTGTGGCTATGCTCCATTAAAGTACTCAGGCGAATTTGTATTTGCACATGATCAATACGAAGTATGTATATTTATGACGCAGCATTTTTATGAATCCGTAGGTATGTTTTTAGGGCTTTATCTCCCCTCAAGCTTATCCTCAAACTTTGCATATAGTTTTCTCTCAAGTGGATTCGTATTGAGTATTAATTACGGTTCAGTATCCGATTGCCCGAGTGCCAGCATTGCTTTGGCAATATTTTATGTGCCGCGCTATTCACTACCCTCCTTATTTTTAGCGCATTTTTTAAGAATTAAAAAAAATGGGTAAAAATTAATTTTTTCTACAACTGTCAAAAAACCTGTCATTTTCTGACGAATTTCGAAGCGCGAAGTACTAGATTTTTAAACGGTTAATTAATAAGTAAGGTTGCCCTTGACAACGTGCGCGAAATCGTCAACAGTGAAAAAAAGTATTTCGCGCACGTGACAAAGTTGAGCTTAAACAGCAAATTTCATTAACAATCGCTTCAGTTGTAGAAAAAATATTGTATATAACGCCAGCGCGAACTTATTTCGCGCATTTGACTGATATTTTAACTCGGCTTCGCCTCGTCAAAATACCTTCAGTCTCAATGCGCGAAATTGAACTTCGCGCTCTTGTTATATAAATAACTATTTTTCTACAACTGTCAAAAAAACCTGTCATTTTCTGACGGATTTCGAAACGCGAAGTACTAGATTTTTAATCGGTTAATTAATAAGTAAGGTTGCTCTTGCAACGTGCGCGAAATCGTCAACAGTGAAAAAAAGTATTTCGCGCACCGGGACAAAGTTGAACTTAAACAGCAATTAATATTAATCAATCGGTTCAGTTTGTGAAAAAATATTAGATATATAACGCTACGCGAAGTTATTTCCGCGCATTGACTGATATTTTAAACTCGCTTCGACTCGTCAAAATACCTTCAGTCTTCAAATTGCGCGAAATTTGAACTTCGCGCTCTTTGTTATAATAGAATAACTATTTTTCTACAACTGTCAAAACCTGTCAATTTCTGAACGGAATTCGAAACGCGAAAGTAACTAGATTTTTAATCGGTTAATTAATAAGTAAGGTTGCTCTTTGACAACGTGCGCGAAATCGTCAAACAGTGAAAAAAAGTATTATGCACACGGACCAAGTTGAACTTAAAACAGCAATTAATTAACAATCGGTTCAGTTTGTAGAAAAAATTGTATATAACGCTAGCGCAAGTTATTTCGCGCATTGACTGATATTTTAACTCGGCTTCGCCTCGTCAAAATACCCTTCAGTCTCAATGCGCGAAAATTGGAACTTCGCGCTTCTTGTTATATAAATAACTATTTATTTCTCATTGTGTTTTCTAATTAAAGGTTCAGCGAAGGAACCGTTTTCTAACAAACTACTAGCCCATCTTTCCTGTCCTCACTATCAAAGTAACGGGATAAGAAGACGAGAGGGGGGGGGGGAGGTGGAACTAGTTTTATCCTTCATGGTAGTCTAATGAAAGGTCTCAACGAAAGGAATTAATTTCTACTAACCATAGCCCTCCTCCTCGACATCTTATCGTGATCGGGTATATTGCCTTATACCTCAAGAACGGATTGTCGGAAGAGGGTACTCACAAAGGGCAATTGAGACGTCTGCAAAGAATATATTCATTGGTGATGTCAAAACAAAAGCTATTTCGGTTTTAAAAAATGCGCTTCATCTGCACAACGGTTGTGCACAATTTATGCTTGTTTTGTTTGTGTTGTCATCATATGTTACAGATAGATAAAGAGCACCCTTTTCACCTCACAAGGTTGTGACCTGAAGTACAAAGGTCATCAATAAATAATTGTACGACGATCATGGAGGAAATGACTTATGCCAGAGTTATAACAAAGTGGGTTTCCTTTCGAGGTAAGTT